ACTGGCGAATGCTGAAGCCACCTGTTGCAAGCAGTGTGCGTATCTTCATGACCAGTTCTTTAGCTGCTTTGGCTGAGGGCAGACTGTCTAGGCAGTTGTCTGCGTAAAAGGATTGTTGGACAGCACGTGCGACCTCTTCGTTGCCCTTCTGGTGGTCGAGTACATGCCTTTGCAGGGCAAATGAGGCAAAGCAGGGACTACAGGTTGTGCCGAACGGAATCTGAGGACTCCAAGGAGGGATGCTCCATACCTGGGTCCGGGTAGGAGATGGTTGTTCAGCACATGTCCATCATGTTCGAATGAGCAGTTGAACACCAAACGTGGCTTACAGCTGGTTTCAACAATGCAATGTGGAAAATAACACGACTCCTCAGTCTGCTGGGCTTCTGCATCACTAAGGACTCTCACGTAGCCTGCATCAAGTAGCTTCTGGATTTGCTCTTTGTGGATCCTAGCAAGGTCAGGCTGTTTCTGGAGTTGTCTCTCTGTACGCTTCAGGTTTGGGAAAACTGCTTCTTTGCCAGCATTGAAGTGGGTTCCATCATTCCTGCGCAAGAGGGGTGTGGCATCACACAGAACCCCTCCTTCAATGCGAACTGTTTTTGCTTCAAGCAGTTCCACAGCATACTGGTCCTGCTTGGAACGGGTTACAATCTTCTCACTAGTGTAAGGGATCACATCCGCCTTCCACAATCTCTCAACTTGTTGCATAAGGTCATGGTTCTCTTGACAAATGGTAATCTTGAAGCACTTCTGCTCACTGAAATGTTCCTTCAGGACTCCAGCCGGTCCCTGAAGTGTCCAACCCACTTTGGTGCATACTTGTAAACTTGTAAACTTGTGCTCCACTGGGGCCGAATTTCACAGGTTGCTGTGGGGTGATTAGGTCGGAGTAGTCAGAGCCAACCAGGATCGAGGGAGTTGCGTTGTTGATCAGAGGCAGTGCAACTCCACGTAAGTGGGGCCAACGCTTCTGTAACTGGATAGGTATATTCTGACAGGCGTAAACTGTCAGCGGTGAAAGCTCCTTTTATGTTGTACCTGATGTCAGAATGTTCCCTCGTGGACACTTGGAAATTGACCGATTGCCCTTCACATTGGAAAGGCAGTTGTTGAACTGTCGATAGGAGTATATAGTCTTTCTCCGCAGTGAGGTTCAGTTGCTGGACTGCATGGTTGAGCACCATTGTTCTCATGGAGCTATCGTCAAGCACAGCATGTGTTTCAAGTTTGCCAGCAGGACCATGGAGAGTGATTGGAACGACCTTTAACATGACATTTTGGGGACGCAGGGGCCGGTCTAGGTAAGTCATCTGAGTCGTCACTCCAACAGTATAGATTCTGCTTGCTCCTTGAGGAATGGCGTCATGCAGTACAGTCAAGTGGATCTCCTTGCAGGTGTTGCATGGTTTTCTCAATGTACACTGCTCAGGTTTATGGGTGCGCCCACATTTCCAGCATCTGGACTTTTCCTTCAGCCATTCGATTATTTGCTGGTTACTGAGCGCCTTGAATTCAGTACAACCATTCAAGTAGTGGTCATGGTTGTTGCAGTGTGGACAGAAGGCCTTACGTTTGTCCTTTGATGGTGACTATTGTGAAGGTAACTTTCCCGTTGTCTGTTTTCTGCCATCAGCCATGAAAACAGCGGTAGGCCGATTCCCTTTCTTGAGGGGAAACTTGTCTTTCCTCTCTTGTCTGGGGTTATCTTCTTTGTAGACTGTTGCTGCTTCACCAGCGATCCACTTTGCTCGTGACTGTACTTGCAACCAGTTGGCAAGATGGTTAAGTGTATAGGTTTGGTCGGAGTCTGCTTTCAGAATGGTGGAGCTGAAACCAGTGATGAAGTCTTGGAAATATATGGAACAGGAAACTGTGGTGACTGGGGAATAAACAGAAATAAATACTAATAAATTTACTGGAATGCACATACATGTGCCCACTAGACGACAACATATTTGTACATGTAACGTTGCAACAATTGTCCCCGATTAAGGCTAAGGTTTGTACTCTAGACTCCTCTATTTTACATAATAACACAAGAATCACTATATGATCTTATACTTTAAACATTAAAGAACATATGGCTGTACTCACAATTGTAAGTAACGCACGGTAAGGGCAAATTTGGAGGTATTTTGATTGGAAATGTGCTTGGTAAACCTGACTTTAGAATGGAATGTACGGTGCAAGAATGAGCAAACTACTGAGGGCGCCCTACCAACTATTGCGCGGTCAGTAGACAGTGAGGGACTTTCTTACACTCATACATGCCGAAAGGTGCGACAATGGCAGTCTTGTGAATATCAGCTGGGTCGACTGGAATCTGGTGGTGTGCACAAACTAATGTAAGTTGATCTTGCTGAAAACGGAGCAACCAGCCAGACTAGATGCACAGTCTAGCAAGTGGGCAATGGGGTAACGATCAGGAACTGTGAAACGATCGAGGGCTCTGTAGTCCCCATATGGTCGCCAATCACTCGGGGTCTTCTCGGGGACCGTGTGGAGAGGACCGGACCAATTGTTGTCAGATGGTTGAATGATGCCGAAATCCAATATCCAAGACGGTCCGGGCGGTCCAGGCAAGTCGGCGAGGTCTGGCTGTCACGGGTGGGTCTGTCGTAATGATGCAATAGGTAATATTGTGTCAGACAAGTGCATTTGCGGTTGGTGCTTGAGTGAGTTGCAGAAAGTCTTTAAGGATTAACTCGTAGGGTGACTCATCAGCGAGCTGAAATAAGACAGGACTGACAGGCATATGGAGCTGCAGTTCCTGAAACTGAAAGGCTAGTTGTGGTATCTATAAGCCTGCATTGGGAAACATCCATAAGGAGATTGTAGTGATGTAGAAAATTTGAGCCCAATATCGGTGTAGGAGTATCCGCAAGAAAGAAAATCCAGCAGCAATTACATCTGAGGCCAGTGTTGAATTTCACAGATCTTTGACCATAAGTGGGTATGCTAGAACCGTTGGCAGCCTGCAGGGTGGAGGAATGCGGGTGTTTCCTTTCAACAGCACTGGGAGGAAAAATGCTGACAGCCACCCCAGTGTCTACTAGGAACTTTTGTTTATGGTGAGGATCATAGATGAAGAACAGGTGGCCAGGTTGGGTGCCAGAAGAAAGTGCAGTGCCTATCCAATGGTAGGCTCTTTTCCCTGCTAAGTGCCATGGGAGCACGGTTGGACACACTTGATGGCCTCAGCACCATAGCAGCAGTGATACCAACACTCGGTTTGGGAGGCAGTGGCAGGAGGATGGGTCAGTGTATGCTCCTTCTTGGTCTTGCGTGGACGACTACGGCTCTGGGCATGTGACTGGCGTTTGAGTTGGGCCTGCATGGAGTTGACTTGGGTGGTGAGTTGGGCAATTTGGTCACGAAGCTCGCCGAGGTCACTGGATATAGAGGTGGAGTAGTTGGGGCCACAGCATTAACAACTGGGGGAACGTAAACTTCAAGGATATGATCAGCAAGGGTGGCTAACTAACTGATCAAGGGGAACAGTGTCGCAAGAGGAGGCAAGAATAAATTGAGCATTGGCCGGAAGGCGTTAGAGGAACAGCTGTTTGAAAATCCCCTCTTCGAGTTTACATTCACGAAGTAGTTGTCGCATACGGTGCAGCAACTGGGAGGGTTTTTTGTCACCGAGCTCCTCCTCAGTGAGAAGCATCTGGAGGTGCTTTTGCTGAGAGACTGAAGTGCGCAGAATCATCTCTTCCTTAAGCTTTTGATACGAGTTCTCCGCAGGGGAGCTGATAATCAAGTCACACACTTCCTGGATGATTATGGGCTGGAAAGAAGCAAGGATGTGTGGAAATTTTGTGTCTTTGTGGTGAATACCCTAGTGTGGAACTGGGCCTTAGCTGGGCAAACCACATCAAGGGATCACTTGGCCAAAAAGGGGGGAGTTTGAGGGAGAGGGCCCCTATCTGTGGCTTATTTTCTTTATTTATATATCAGCAGCAGGAGTGCCGTCCTGAGCCATGGTGAATGAAGGTTTCCAGATGGCAGGGAGTACAACACTACTGCAGAATTGGTTGTATAATGTGAGGGCTCAGAAAGTCAGCAAATGTGGTGCAAAAGTGCAGCGTCTGGGTCACCAATTGTTGTGTTGGTGCTCAACGTAAGTTATTATCTGCTGTCAGGCCAAAAGAGAGCTTTGCTCGACGTAGTCGGCTGAATCGGCGACCTACATGTAGAATACACCTCCATGCAAATAGGGGCGACTCTCTCAGTGGCTGTCGAGGCGACTTGCCCTGCATGCAACTGGCGCTCGAGTGACAGAAAGTCTCTTTTTTTAGAGTCAGTCAGTCATAGTTAATAAAACAGACGATGTGAAGAACAATTCTCCTTGAACAGTTAACAAAATAAGTAGTAAATAAAGCTGGCAAAAATTAAGTTGAAGACATAGGGAAATTCCAGGGAGATTACACGCACAAAAACAATACGGTGAAGAAGGAAAGTCATTTGCATAAATGTTTGTTTTTTGGTAGGACTTTTATAGGTCAAGGGTCGCTACAGGACTATCCATGTGTAAATATAGTGTACATGATGCAATGTTAGAATTCTGGAAATACTTATATGACAAAGTTTGACAGTCTAGCAAGAAAGACTGGGATTTTGCCTTCTCATTTGACGTAATTAATGATGCCTATAAGTGCCTGGCCTTCCCAAATTACAAAGCCACACATTTTATGCACATGTTAGTAAATTTACATGAACAGAACATGCAATTTTAGAATATCTGGGAATATATGTACTTTAATACAGATCTGCTAAAGTGTGTCAAAACCAGCTTGGAAGATGTGCCTGCCTTCCTGAGTTGACAAGACCGAGTTGACTTGGGACCATGGAGGAAGGACACATTACTGTTGACCTTTACTATGCACATGTCTATATCAACAGGTGTAGTACCAAATGATATAAAATGGTTGCTCATGTCACTCATATTTTTAAAAGTGGTAATCTTGATCAAGTAAATAATTCACAATTGTATGATGGACTGTCTAGATGAACACAACATAATTTCTGATTCTCGATGTGGATTCCGTCAAAACCATTCAACTTCACATGCTATTATTCACCTAATTGATTAAATAACTAATAATTTAGATACATCCTCTGTTACAATTGGTTTATTCCTGGACCTCTCCAAGGCCTTTGATACAGTCGATCATAATATACTTCTAAACAACTTTCTTATTATGGCATTAGAGGAACCGCCTTGGAGTGGTTCGAGAGTTTCCTTTCAAATCGTCAGCAATTCGTATATGTTAATAGTGTCAGTCCTCTCCGCAAGGATCCATTCTGGGGCCACGTTTATTTTCCATCTACATGTATATACATGTAAATGGCTTTGTTAAATCTTCTGACTTTTTTACCTTTATTTTATTTGCTAATGACGGTAACCTACATATATTCTATAGTTATCCTTATAAAATACTCTTTATCGTAACGTTAATCTCGAGCTTACCACAGTTTTAAACTGGCTTAAAGCAAATAGGTTGTCTCTTAACATTAAGATGACTAACTATACGCTGTTTAGTAATAAGCAACATCACGAATTACCTGAAATCTTTATTGATGATGTACAAATTGATAAAACCGACTGTGTCAAATTCTTACAGATGTAGGTCTGTATACTGAACAGAATCTTTCATGGAAAAACAAATCAATAATATTCGCACGACTTGGAGTTATAACTAAAGCCACTTCTCCCTCAGGATGTACTATTTCAACTTTACAATATAATTGTACCATATCTATCATATGGGATATTAGCCTAGGGTAATTGTGGGGTTAGTTCAACCAGTAGAATACTTGAACTGCAAAAAAGTTTCAAGAATGATCCACTCTGCCACCTACGTGTACCTTGAACATAGTAGTCCACTGTTTTATTTGTATAAAACTCTCTAAGTAAATGATATATTTCCTTCAGCTTGGGATCCTCATCACCAGTTAAACATGAAAAAATTACCTAAATCCATTTGTTCTATGTTTATCAAAAATGAAGAAATGCACCATCATTTCACTTGACAGCACAAGAAACTTCATCAGTCTTTTGCACGTACGTTGTACTACTCTCACACAAAATACAGTCATCAAGCATGAGGGCCCCAGGCTGTGGAATTCCTTAGATGCCTCTATGAAGAATCTAGGGAACCTATAACATTCAAACATAAATATAAAGCTAAACTATTAATAAGTGGGTATTCAAATTCTATTTAACATCATTTAGTTTTTGTGTCTTACAGGGTTACAAGACTTAGTGTTTACGTGTCATAATTACTGTCTTCTTGTCTAATTGTGCGTCATAATTATTGTATTGTTCGTAATAATGTGTATTATTCCTAATGGGATCCCTACTCGACAATAACTGCTTCTATTTTACTGCAACATGTAATTAGCTGGGTGGAAATAAAGAATGAATGCCTTAAAGTAGGTCTGAGGTGGCGACAGAAACGAGACAGATTGTAAAAGATAGCCACTGCACTACAGTTCTACGTGTGGGGCTAGCATGGGCCTACTCAAGTTTACTCACAATGTCATTTTCACAGAAATGGGCCATGTACATCATGTGCATGTAGTGTAGGCATGCCTACACTACATGAAGTGTTGATCCTAGTCCTACTCCTGCACGCCATGGTCTCATGGTCTTTTCCTTTCTCCATGGTCTGAAGGACAAGGCCTTCCTGTAAAGTGTAAGTGTGGAATTAAGCAAAACTTACATGTACTTCATATCACGTAGGTGTGCCAGAAATTCCTCACAGACTAATTTCTTACGTGTTGTCTTGATGATACACAAAACTAAAGCGACCACCATGCACCACTAGTACCAGTATACCCCCAGAACTGAGGAGCGGACGTCGGACTCCACAGTTCTGAGGGTATACTACTCCGTCACTCTACCTGTACATCGCGTGCACGACGTGTGCCTCCGCACCCACGTGTTGTTTGCAGCGTGTCTGTCCGTAGCTCAGTCCGCCATATCCGTGTTCTGTGGTTTTCGATGCAGCGTGAATTTTGCGTAGTGACGTCATGCACGGAGCGCCTGGCTTGTAAACTCACCCTGTGTCGATGACACGTGCTACTAGTAATGATCCATAATGCAAGAATTAATACTTTAATGCATAATGTTTTTTGCCTGTCAAACGATGAAAATGCGTGCTCCATGCTCTTATCATTTCCCCCAAAAATTCTATTGATTTAAACCGTCTGTCACTTTGGGGCAGATTCCGCAGATCTAGCAAAGAAGGCGCAGTGTTTTGGAGTCCGACAGTGCTGGACATGAGGTGGCGCTCTTTCTGATGTCCATGCGGCATGAGTAAAGGACTGGCGCCCCCACCCCGCCCGGAAGGCGTTGAATTTTTTAAATTATTACTTTAGTACATGTAGAAAGTGACCGGCAAAGCGTTGAATGGGAAAAGGCCAGAACAGTGAGGTTCTGGTGATATTCTCGTCTGCTGGAACCAACGGCTGCCAGGCGAGTGATGCCTTGCTTGACACGGGGCCCGTTCTCAATTTGCAATCGGAACGCCGAAATCTCTGGTTAGTTTCATTGGCTATACATCACCAGTCCAAGTTTCATCAGCTCATGTAGAAAATGAACTAGGTTTTCATACTGCCTTTACGCCGCGTGCTCCTTACGTACCCCAGCTCGCTTCCAAGTTTCAATTGTTATAAAACTGTTATGTGCGTATCGTTAAAATACTCTAGCCTATGTGAGCTAGTTTTAAAAGCTGATTGAGCAAATAGAAGAAGACTTTAACTTTCGTCCCAACTCTTTTTAATTCATTACCACTGCTTAATGTTTTAGGAAAATACATCTTAATTGGAATACATAATTATACCAATACAATTTTTGACTATGCACATAATTATATATTGATTAAGAGTAGAGAATGCTGGTAACGATCTTTAGGCTTGCCAATGACCACATTAATATTATTGTTTCGTATTATATTGTGGTTAATGAACAATGTTTCGAATATGGAATACATAGCACCGGTGTCTCAGTAATACATCCACCATCAGAAGTACGTGTTTAATTAAACGAAGTGTACTCTAAACGCTTTTGGGGACGGACATTTCAATCAAGAATTAAATGCCAAGCCTCGTGTGAACTTTGTTACCAATTAAAAACAATTTTTATATAGGTATTTCGCTGATCATGGAAATGATCCACTCATCAGCATCAGTGGAATCCAGGTGGTGCAACGAGTAAAAGCACAACATGTGGACTTAGCTGTGCTGCTCAGTATATCTTTGTGAATTTACCAGCGTTACAATTCCACAGACAATTCCATTATGATTTTGTTTCAGTGATGTGAAGGTGTGCTATGTTTTGTTTTCAGGATTATACAATTCATCCTAAATGTAATATTGTGTCTTATTTTGTCTCAGTGTTAAAACATAACAAAAGCATAATAATATCTAAAAGATAATAATTGATTTTGTTTTGTTTCACGGTATTCTGTTAATTGCGACGAGCAAAAAAGCGACATGCATGGCATTACACATCTAAGTGGCGTTAGATATGACGTATGTACAGATATTGAAAGCTTTTAATTAAGGGCAGCTTCACACAGGTGGCAAAGCTATAGGTGTTTCAGTTATAAGGCACGTGGTTGGTGGGGTCGCCCAGATGGATGTGCAGTTGGGGATAGAGGTTGTGCGGTAGTTGGGATGAGGGTTTCCATGGAGGACGCTCGAGCAGAGAGATGCGTCCTTTGTACTTCTCGTCCATCTTATCAGCTGCATTATTCAGACACAAAGAGAGTAAAATGCGGATATTTAAAAGTGTATGTTACGGGCCATTTAAAAACGCATGTACTTCGTTTATCCAATTTCTGAGGGCCTTAAAGTTAAGGAAAATGCAGCAATAGGCCTATTGTAGAGCTGCTGTGAAATTACCATGATTGCAAAAAAAATGAGGAATAAACATTTCACTGAATCAGACAGTGATCTCCCCTTTCAGATGCAAAGTCTTAGGAAAACATACCATATGTTTTTCGCGGCTTTCGTCCATCCCCACTGCATGATCGCTCGGGGGTGGTCTTGGGTCTCTGGCCTCCCGTAGCCGAGCTGCCGCGAGCCCGTGACTCAGGCCGACTACCAGGGGCTCCAGACGATGGTCGCTGCTCGTAGATGCCCATGCCTAAACGGTGTGTTGTGGAGCACCACTTGGCTGACTGCAGAGGTATTAACATGAAACAGGTTTATATATAATTTATATATTCACATATTTTGCATGTCTGAAATATGTCTGCTTTAATTATTTTTATGCATAAAAATGAGGTCAGAGACTTTTGATGGTTCAGCTAGAAACGTGCATTTGAGCTAAACATCAATACAATCAGAGCGTGAGACAAGTAAGCCTACAGCACATTAACGAAACTTTGATAGCTAAACCCAGCAGGCCTTGCAAAAAGCCAACATTTTCGTCCATCAGAACTGATTAACTAGAATGTGTTCTAGTCAACCATAACTGATAACGGATTAAAAACATATACCCCAAAACCTGTTTAATTAAACAGAGCAGAATTCGGGGCGCAAAAATTCAAGAAAGGTTTTCATTGTTTAACAGGGGTTTATCCAACTTCGTCGTTCATGATCTGGTATTGTTTCGTTAAAAATTCGAGCGACAAGAAACTACAATAATTACTTCAATCGACGCCATCGGAACGGAGATACAACTTTGAATGCTAACGACAAGATCACACGTTTATCATTGCGTCTTGAGTAACCGAAAACTCTTATTTTGAAGTTATGTCCATGCAGGCCACATTTTTTTAAATGCAACTGGAACATAAAAACTGACTTTCAAGTTACTATGGAAACAAGTTGCCGATAAATGTGCATGAAGGATCGAGATCCAGATCTCCTGTGACTTATTTATTACTCCATGCCTTTCACTCCTTTTGAACTTTATTTCCGGAAGCATCAGTTGACCATGCACGGTCACAGAGATCGACGTCATGTTGATCTCTTCACAAACACTACATCGTATCCCCTTTTCGAACGTCTTTCCCAGAGATTTTACACACATTTTCTTTGTCGTTCTCAATTGATTCGAACTACGTCAAGTGAGGTATAGACCTTTGTCACTCAAGTGAGGTATAGACCCTTGTCACCTACCTGCTATCTTTGAGAGAGAATTGTGAGAGATCGAACAATTATGCAGTGCTTGCAACTTGTGGTGGCATCAACCAGTGTTCGGCCTATGGGGATGTGTATGCACTGCAGGGCATTTTTGACACCCCTCATCAAGTATTCTAACAAACCCTCGGTACCAAGTTACATGAAATGGTCTATCGATTTCTAACAAAAGGCTCTACGTAAATACTGGGATGCCCCGGTGGTCTCACCGTGAGTTAAAGATGGAAGGGCTTCGTTCTAATGATTATTGATTATCGCATGGAGGTATCGCAATCTCACTCAAGTAACGCTTCTCAAGATATTTGGCGTTGTGAACTACTAACTACATTGGCCCAGCGAAAGAGAGCAAGACTTTGCTCATGAAATGCTTTTGACTATTTCATGGATAATTTCATCGACCGATTTTTGCTGTCGCAACAGCAGACATTAAGCATTTACATGTAATTGTTAACAAACAAAAACGAAAAAACGTCGGGTGAAGAACGCAACTTACAATATCCTCTAAAACAAAGTTTCAATTAAGAAGGGCATTTATTGAGATTCAATTTTATTTTATTTCACTCCGTCAATTCACATTTTACAAATAACGGCAAACTTGGTATACATTATATACAGCTATACAGACTTCTAACGAACAATATGAATCACTGGTAAAATAATGAGCAACTGCAACGATCTGCCCTGAGCAGAAGCACCCCGTCACCGGTTGAAAAGAGCCGTGTTAGTCAGCAGTGTTCATTTTGTTGGTAGTGATGCAACCGTAACGCATGCATTTCGTCGTCGTTCGTGAACCGGCGAAGTGCAGCTCCGACCAAAGGGGCCTCCATTGCTAGCAAAATTGCGCCCTCTCTTAGTCCAGCTCGGGGATCATAGGATCAACTTTGTATTTGCTATGTGTAAATCCGGGAAAAGTATGGATTAAATGATGGCTTGATAGAAATGATTGAAAAAGATCATTTTCTGAACTCACCAGTTCGGCAATGCCGTCAGCTGTCTTGAGTAACACAGGTATGAGGTTGACCACAGCGCCCCAGAGCGGCACCTCTCCGGTGTTCAACCCTCGAAACTCCTCCAGCGTCTTGTGCTTGTGTAGATCGGTGAAGTCGTTGTGCTCATCCAGGAACTCTTTTCCCAGAACTCCATCTCCGACTTGATCTTCCGTGCTGCCTCCCTCTGCCGGTCGTGGACGGTGAGTTCCCCGATGGGCTCTGCGATCCACTCCCGGACCCGCTGGGCCAGGGTCCGGAGCGCGTTCACTAGCGTCAGGAAGTGGCCGATGACCGAGGTGAAGTGAGTTGGCCGGTCCTTGTCCAGTCTCTTGGAGTCCTCGTAGCAGTCCCGGACGCTGGCAATGGTGGTGATTGAGGGCCCGTAAGTAGTCGTCCGACCCTTCGGCGAGCGCTGCAGGCCATCGACGAAGCTTCGCGTCTGTTTAAAGAGTTTGGTGTAGTCACCCTGACGCAACTGGCGGACTTCATCGCTGAGTTGGGCGCTGACTTCTTCGATGTATCGAAGCGTTGCTGAGGGATCCTTCTTAGCCATGGCAAATATCGTGCGGGTGGAGTTGTATCAAATGCTGTGATATTCGGCCTTAGATTAACACGATCATCCGAATCTGAAACGGTACACACCACAGAAACCGACAACTGACATTTTGTGTTGAATACGCCCAATAAAAGAAAAAAAGTACTTAAAATGGACGGATCTCATCATAGTATACATACCGGAGCATGTCGCAAACGCATCTTAATTCGGTTTGAGAAATTGAACAGGGCTAAGCATTAAATGGTTTGCACAGAAGGACAATGTATTTTGTTCAACATGAGAGTCCGTATCATGGTGTGCTTGAAGCACGGAGACACTTTTGGATCAAGGGTTTTAACGGCTGCCCCCCGGAGGTAAATATGATGATGGAAATGACCATTTTCCCCCACTGTTTCGGTTCCACTCCTCCTAAAAGTGCACACTTTCAAAGCATCTATTAAAACTAGCCTCACGTGAGGTCACATAAAGAAATCCTCGATATCAAATCCGCCAAACAGAAAATACCCCTCCCCTCACACAAGATAACCAAATTGGTCCCGGGTTCATCCTTGACTGGCCGCAGCAAAAATATACTTCGCTCACAACATTTACCGTTGAAGCTTGGATCGAGGGGTCCCCGTTACACGATACAGTTAAGCCTTTTGTTTGTATAATTATTTAGCTCGATTGAGCTTATACTGTGAGGCATAAACATATGGCCGAATGGTCGGATTTAATATCAAGAATGAGTAACATCAGCAGTGTCTACAGTCTGGTGTACTGATTGCGATATACCTGCATGCACAAAGCACACCACACATTAAAAATGGGCCTGATTGTAAGTTCCATATTTACTCATTGAACATGGCTTCTTAATATTATTATTATAGTACGTGTATACTAATTACAATATAGTACATATATCTAACAGTATATAAATCACAATTTCACATATGAAACGGAAGCCGATAAGCATAATGCAGACTAATGTTACACCAGCGTAACTTACCTACACATAGGCCTATGCATTGGCAAATTGACAAGTTTATAGGGCAGAGGTCAAGTTCAAGTGGTATATTTGTACTTTGGAATCGTCTGTGACGTGGAGCTTATTAGGATAAAAATAGTACATGTTCATGTAATTTTGTACCATGTATCCAGCTATCAAACTAATCAGCAAACGTGAACATCCTTACGAATATTATTGAGCTACGCAGTAGTTATGTATTTATGTTTAATTCCTTGAAGGTTCGATTATTAACATAATCTGTAAAAGTATCAACGAATAACACCATAATATAAGTTTAAACACCAGGTTTGTTGGTTGAAATGAGAAATTGCACCTCAGCCCAAAATTAACAGCATAATGATCAATACAACTACTGACAGTGCACTGCCAAAAGCCATTCAAATAAAGACTTAATTTCAAAAATACACAGAGTATGGAAAAAGGGATTGGAGAAACTCTAATAAAAAGAATTCTTCACTTTATTTCCTTTTGGTTTGCGTGGTGGCTATCGTCTTACGGCAGCAGCTACGATCTCCCAAATTTCTTTGATAGTAATTTTTGTTTAGAACTCGATTAATGTTCGAGGGGATGTGCATTATATACTTTTCCGCACACGGGGGAAAGTTAATCGTTACGAAAACTATTTGCTATACTAAACTATAGGTCCCAGGTGTCTCAGTAGAGTATTATATATCCAGTGAGCTAATGGGTAGCCGGGTATCGATCGTTTCAGTAATGTAAAGTTTGTCGAAAAGATGATGACAGACCTATTCATGCGGGTCGAAATAGAACCACTGATATAATAGTCGCAGTGCGGTATATTCATTTTAAATAGGGGAATAATTAACTTCGTCAGAGATAAATACGCTAAAATCTTCGTGGTGGCCATGCCCGCTATAAAAAACTATCGTGCCTAATGTTTCATACAGATTTTATGAGTACCTCAGCCTCGTGGTCCTGCGCAGTTCCAGAAATGAGGGGTCCGCTTTGTTGTGTTCCTGTCACATCTGACATATGATTTTCAAAGTTCAGAACACATTTTGCAATTTCCAAGAGTGCAAATTACCTGCTAAACAAATACTGATAGTTTGAAATCAATCCCGGGATATTTCCATGACAAATATCAAAGGTCAGATGTAAAAATGTCACAATTTGGGACTCCAAATTTCTCAGGCTGGAATTACCCTCCTACTGCAAGTTGTTTAATTTGGATACTTTTGAAAATAAAACAAACCAAGTAGCCGAAGAAAACAGTAAAAAAAATAACACATTTCAAAAATACTTAAATAAAATATGTATTAATAAAGGACCATCCAAGAGGTCTCCAGTGTTTGCCGGGGATAATAATGTCTCTCGATCGAGAAACGCACGTTCGTCACTATCGCCGGCCGCGCGACCAGGTAACAAACTACATGTACTGTGACTGACATGTTAGGGTTTGCCCAGTTGTTTGTAATTCTGTCAATTTTTCTAGCTGTCTGATTTTGCTTTCGGTAGATCCTGATTTATTTTGTTATTTCAAGTAGGCTTAATCGTAGGTTAATTCTACATGTACTTCTGTTATTACATTGGCAAGCCTTTAAAAGGTTAAACCTGAAAGTCATAGATTCAGATTTCTAAAAAAAGGGTATTAAATGTAAAGATATACATGACACTGTAAAAGGTTAAAAAATATAAAAATTAAGGTCATATAAAAATGTTCTCGGCAAACCTTTAAAGGTGCAGTCTGACCTCGAGTTCAATATTTGCTTCTGTAACGATCACGTTTTGTTGTCGAAAGTATAAAATTTAATTACGATAATTTTGTCATTCATGAAGGCAAATTGAATTCTGGTGCTGTTTGGCTACGTGATGACTCGGTCAAGTGCCGAGCTAAGTTGCCAAGAGGAGGTATACCAGGCAAGATATGGGACGGAGGGGTACCCCCTTACCTGTCCAATCCCTATACACACTCTGGACTATTGTTAGCTAACACATCCCCCCTAGAAGNCACAAAGGCGGGGGTTCTCTCCGTCCCATATCTTGCTTCATATGAGAGGCAGGGTTGGAATGACCAGGTGCCGAGGTGATATCCAACAGTCAAGCGCAATGCACACGTGCACACATACATACAGTGTATAGGCCTACACTCAAATGTTTCTGTTTCACAGCGAACATTTACATACCTGTTCTGGGCAGGTGTCGTGCCTAGCGTAACCACGGGGCTTCTCTAGTCCAATAATTTGCAGGTGTCAGGTTGAAATCAGAGCACACTAAAAAAGTAATACAGCCGTGAAAATGACTACCTTTACAAGCCAGTGTAACAGATATATTCACTCGGCATGCTTGAGCAGTTTGCGTTTATAAACAGCGGGCAACAGCATGTCAGAACGATTTACTATGAAGTGCAAACCATTGATCGTATCACAAAAAACCCACGACTGCACTGCCTTAGCAACGACCCCTGCTCCTTGGATACGGGCAAAATAATAACAAAGTCGTGGGAACACCATGATTATGTTTGCTCACGTGTGGCAGTACATGTACAGTATATACTAAACTATTTTTGTTACGCGTCCTTTTTAAGAATTGGCAGAGGGCGTCGGACCAATTTTGTTCCCAAGTGAGGTCACGTACGGACCGTGAGAAAAGTAATAAAATTCTCCGTAGGGCCAGGAACATACTTAGATTGTTGAATTGTTCTTCACTGCAGCGTGCAATGCACAAAATGGTATCATTCCACCTCAACTGTCAAGATGACGGGCAAAGTTTACAGTGGAAAGAAAGTGACCCTCTTTATTGCGCAGCATTTAAACAGCTGTACGTCGGCCTACGTGAATACTGTGCAAGGCATTGGTTAACCATGCATACTATGCTCATAGGTGGCTGCAGAACATAATTGCTTGAAGTGTGCAAAAGCACAAAAGTTGTGTCAAGTTGCGTGGGAATGCAAGTAAAACAAATTGCCTAGCCTGGGTTAACAGGGTTATGATGATTTTATAAACAGAAGTACGGCTTAAACTGCAAAAGGCTAAAACTGCATATACATGAGGATACGACTTGAATATGAATGAGATGACGACGCTTATCAATGACGCTCAATCGAAAAAAAACCACAAAAATTAAAAGGCGAATTTTCGTGGACATAATTTGACAATTGTTTATTACAAAACTACATTTTTACAACAGAAGTGACAACCTTTGCATTTCACTGATTAATGAAGTAAACAATACTTCATGACAGTAAAAATGTTAACTTTTCGGTGGAAAGTAAAACTTTTTCCGACCAGCGGATTTATTCGAAGAGTACAAAATGTAAGGACACTTTCTCACAGGGAATGTATTGTAAAATCACAGTTGCAAAAGGCATTAAAATATTTTAAATACAAATCTGCCCTCCCACCAATATACAAAAAAAATTGATGTACACGGATATACCTAAATATTCTTTAAACATCTCATAACGTTCGAGTGGTATCCAAGGGCTGTGTATAAACTACCTATTCTTCAAATATCTTTCACAATTTTGCCCTCTCAGTACTAAAACATGAAAGACACTGTAAATGCAATATAAAATGATCACCTGGTAATGTTACAAAAATGATTATTTTGAACGGATACATTGTACACATGTAACATTATGTAAAATTGCATATAGAACTATTCAACACTTCATGTGCAACCAACTTACGCACCGTACAAATGTTTTCATATCCTTATAAACAATGAAAAACTTTGATAGCAAGCGGCAAATTAAGTGCACAACAAAATGTTGCTGAAAGAGTTGGCCGAAGGTTTGCTTCAAGATTTTATATCTTTGAAGTACGTGTATGTATTGGTCACAGAACTCAGAGTCTCAATGACTGCTACTGGTGTGTTCTACCATTACTTGTAATTGTTAGGTAAAGGGAAATTACGCTGATGGCATCTAAAAGGTTAGAGCACGGCCAAGGAAAAAGAATGCTGACCTACTGGTTAAATGCTATACAGCGAGTAAACACAGAAAGGATGTGATAAAAAGACTACAACATTACACCAGCAAATTGCTGCGAGCCTGTATTTCTTCAGCTACGTAATCAAATTCTCCCTTGGTACATACAGTAGCTTAGTGAAAAGGAACACTTAAACAGTCAATATGGTGAAAGTAAGGCAGTGTTATGAGTACTGTATAATGTGCTTAAAAATATTCTGAAAAAATGTGTAGAAGCACACATAGACGTTAGTGTGGTTTTACAAAAAGCTGTTAAAATGCTGAATAATGTATTAAACTCCTTTTCAACGGGGATAAAATAAAAACAATATCTGAACTGACAATTAAGTTCATGGGCCTAAACATTAACTCTGACAAGTACTTGATAAGTCAACTCAGCAATGGCAACTTAATATCAGTGCTTCACAAAACTATGAAGGAAAACACCTAAAACATAATGACGGAACACAATGTTTGCTGCAGTGCATTGTGGGTGAAAAGTGGCGATAGAAATCAAAGATGGCAGACACGATCGTCAGTCATGCAAGCCTTTGCGTGACTTTACAAGAAACAAACTTGCAGTCTTTTGAAAAAAAAAAGGCAGCTCGTAGTGTGCTTTATACATACAATGGCGCACATGTTACCATGAACCATATTGAAAAATATAGGCCTTCTCAATCTCAGGATCTTTTTGACAATTCTCTATGTGGATGATGTTAGGGATAGCGGGCATACTCTTGTCCCCACCTTTCACCCACAGTGCACCACAGTAAACTTTGCATTACATCAATGTGTTTTAGGTCTACAAGGTGTTGAGTAGTTGGAGCATTTCTGTGCAGTGTGCCTAGACACGGCCTGTGACTCCCCGGCAAGTGGATGTAACACCCTCCCATTTATCAGGATTCTTGCGGAAATAAAAGACCGAGCCCGCCACGATGACCACCAGCACCACCAGGGCGATGACCACCCCGGCCACAAACCCACCACTGACCGTGCCCCGGGCCACGTAGGCGCCTCCCTTGTCCACTGAGAAGACCACCTCCCGCCCCTCCACCTCGGCATCCATCCGCACCCAGTTGGTCAGGTCGTCTGGGTCACTGCGGTAGACACCCACCATGTCGGTGTTGGACTCCAACAGCTTGATGCGCACCTGAAACATCCGGTCGCCCACCGTGAACTTCTCCACGGGTGTGATGACCACAAAGTTGGTCTCGTAGTAGGTGCCCGGGAGGCTGGCCTCACCCCCTTTGGCCTGGACAACCTCATGGCCCCGTTCCGGACCCCACTCCTCGATCTTAATGTCCTCCAGGTGGTCCAGAGTTCCTTGAGTAAAGTCCAGAGATCTGTATGTACACAAAAACAATACAAACAGAACATAGAATCAACCTTTCAGATACAGACTAAGTTTCATAATTGAAACCTGGAACTGATCTTTTGTAAGATCAAACCCCTATTTTGAGCAACAGAATCCAATGTACATCCTATATTTTTTTCTTGGGGGTCTACAAAAAAGTTGGGGGGCAAATGACACGATGTCCCACCCACTTTAAAAAGTGGGAAGGCCATGTCCCCTTCCCAACCCCAACTGATTGATGCACATGCCCCCCACAAATTCCCAGTGCCCCCCCCACTAAAAAAAGCACAGATGAATGGATATTGAACGAGGCTAACAAAAGCTTGCCCCCAAAAACACACCACTGAAAGCTGGTGCCCCCTTGTGCCAGCCCACTAGTAAAATCCTTGCTATGCCACTACCCTGGGTATGAACTAGTGAAGGTTATAGAAGCACCGTGTGACTACCTCTCTTGGGAAAATGAGTGGGTTATAAAGTGAATTGGTGAAGTGAAACTTGATATTTCGTCTTCAGGAAAAAATGTGAGTAGATAATCCATGAAATCTCTCTCAGCAGGATAAACATGCAAATAAACCCACCCAGTCTGTGACTCCACTTGGCCACCGGTCCAGCCGACGGCAGTGTATGACACAGGCTCACTGCGGCTGATGATGCGCCCCTTCTGGCTCCGGTTGGAAAAGTTATTGTTGCGTGTGCACATGTAGTGGTAATGCCCCGTCATGGTGACGGCCAGCGGCTTGGCGTCGTAAAACGTTCCCGCGTCGTCCAGTTCGGACATCTCCCCCCGGAACTGATCTATGAGCAAAGAAGGAGAGATCACTTGTTATGGAAGGGAAAGTAATGGACGCAGCACTGTTTCAGCAACTGTGATTACAATTATGAATTGGATGACAACAAGGATAGAGGTGAACATGGTGACTGTGGTGACAGAATGACGGTACTTTTGAATTTTGATGGTGATGATTGGGATGGTGAGAGTGGTGGCAATGACCAGAAAGGTTTCAAAAAATGGTGAATGACGATGACGCTTAACCACTTCCTACCAGGTTGAATTTGCATATTTGGGATGAGTTCCCGGGCGATTTTCAAGATTTTCAGTTTTTAAAGTTCTTCAAAAATTCAAAACTTCATTTACTGGATGCTTAAACAAACACGAATGACTGTCTGGTGGCTACTCTAATCTGACAGGCAACCTCCACTGACGGCTAAGTATTGCAGCCGGGCCTGTCGCCCAGTAAAGAGAGCCCAGATTGTGTGGTGTTGCTTGATTTCCTTTGCTCCCTAAATTGGCCAGTGCGTCGCTGAATGGCAGTGGTGTCTTTTCAAATGCAGCCAGATTAGCGTGCAGCGGCACTGTATCACTCATCATTGGAGTGCTGGAGCACTTTTGTCCCCGCTAATAATCCGTGGGCTCTGAATGCCAGAGACAGTGGTATACTGTCTCAAAACAGTGACGGATTACCTACGCTAAAGCCAGCTGAAAAATTATGGCAATTCCCAGCAGCTCAGTCTTTTGTTTCTAGTGCTGTCTTTTGTTACAAGGCCCAACTCCTTTGTCCGATTTCGGGCACCCCGGCTATGCCTAGAAACCCAACCCCGGCACCAAGTGGTTAATACAAATGAAGACAATGATGATGGTGATAAAAACAATTTTTGAGAAGGTAAGGCCAACATGATGATATGATTTTGAAAGTCCAGTGGCAGAAACAGCATGTGAATTGAACATTTGGACATTGAGTAACTTTCAGTAAAAGCAACATGTAAATTAACCCACCAACTTTGGGGCTCGTCTGTTTGAAACCTCCCCACTCGAAATGGTATTGAATTTGTGTTATTCCCGTGCCCAAAGAGAAACAGTGACAGTCAACAATGAATCCGCTTACGACTGCTGAGCACGGCCATGTCCTGCAGGTCTTCTCGACTGAAGCCCAGGAACGTCGTCCCGTCCAGGTAGCGTGGGTAGTTCCTACCCAGGTGGCCGTTCTTGCTGTAGGGGGAATAGTACCCAAGACCGCCCTCCTCATACGTCTGGCTCTCCAGCAGTACGATGTTGGAGCGGTCGGTTCCCGGCAGGCCCTGGCCATCGTTGTTGTTGGGGTTGGTGTTGGAACCAGTCCATCTTGGAAAGAAGAATGAATAATAAAATTAACTGGCATTTTTTGCACAAAATCCTGGTCTTCACTGTTGAAGCCGGTCAGAAATTACCCCTTTACAACAAGTTCCTTGGGATGCCACATATTACCTTGCTGTAACTTGATGCTTGTATGACATTGTCCCAGAATGCAAGCACTCGGGACCTATTTTATACCTTCTTCCTTGTACGCGGGATATTGTGTTGAGAGTGGTCTCATTATCAGGGTCCAACCACATGTACATGTACATCTATCCTGTGGGCTGTTGACTGCTGGCTGAGGGTGTAATGACTACCGCAACATGTACTTTCACGTACATTTCATTTGTTGCTGTTACCTTGTTCCTTTTAGAATGTGCATATACATGTAAGCCTACATGTGTGTTTATTTTAAATTGGATGTTTTGCCTTTCAATAACTTATATTTTACAAACGAGTCTCTCTCAAATGATGTAACTTCCAAAAGACTGCCACGTTCATCAGCATTTTAGACTTCAATTTTTTTTAACATGCATCGGCTGTGCTGTATTTCAAAGATATCTGGGTGAACACATGCACGAGTATGGAACATTGCCACACCGCGCACACACGGACCTATTTGCATTGTATACGATGTTATCATTTTCCTATAAAAAGGGCGTCTCATGGGAGAGATCTATACTCAGTGTTGCCTGAAGGCCTTGTAGAAAAATTCACAAGCTTGCTCAGAGTGGGATTCAAATCTACCATCTCCTGCTTCACCAGAGCAGAAGTCTCACCGCTCAAGCACCAAGCTTGCCGGTGAGTGTTTAGCAAATCAGAAAATACGAAAAAAGGAAGAAAGACTTACTGAACGTGGATGTACTCCCCGGGCATGGTTTCAATTCTGTTGGGCACAAAGTCATACTCCACAGCTGGGTACACCTGCACGATGTTCCCCCGCTTACCACGCACGTTCAGATTACGGATGGTGGCGGTGGCCGGCACGTCTGCCGGACGCCTGCGGATGGCGAATGTGTGGGACCTACGAGCGAAAATTCCAGGTAGGTTTGAGCATGGCTTGCCAACATCCTCTGGATGACTATGGCAAAAACTTGGACAGTGTGCAACTGGACTCACCACTGACCGTTTTCAGCACTATCTGAATTAACACTCCCGTGTCATGAGCTAACTGAAGATCATGTTTGCTTTCTGTGACTATCAAGATTTATGGTACGTGATGTGACAATTCACGTCTCTTTTTGAACTGAAATACAATTATTGCTTTACATTGAGGGACAACATGCCAGGTAAAACAATACAGAAGTACACTTTGCTCAAGGTTTGATGTACTCAGGGCAAGGTTTTTTAAACTAACTTGCAAATGCATTGTTCACAATGATGGAAACAGTTCCAATGATTTGAGTACCTGTCTTGAAAAGTTCTGCCCGTTTGGGCTGTGTTGATAGCCAAGCGCAGCTCAAAGTTTTTGTTGGTCCCCTCGACGCTGCCAAAGACGTCAACTTCTGGGTTGTTTTCAAACACGTAGCCACGGTCCTCCCCTGCTTCCAGATTTGCAAATCCATACCTATAGTGATGAACAATGAAAACAGACATGGAAATAATAAACTATTTGGCCATTAGTATTCTGTTGTATAGGGGCTATGTGTGGAGCCATCTTGCAGGACAGTAGGGTACTTTGTTTCACAGGGAAACCTCCTTTGCACAGACCCTATGGAACAAAAGGTTTGGCCTGCAAGATGGCAGCCATGTAAACCCTCTATATTGTACCAAGATACATGTCGTGTTTTCTGCCCATCTGTACTCTGTTATCTGCTTTTTAACGTAAAAAAAACACAAATTCCTCAAGTTCTTAATAGACCAATTGTACCCGTTAAGTCACCTGACTTATGGTGGGTATCCAACATCAACAAACATAGCGTCCTACCACAGTGAATTGTGTTTTAAGTGTTGTTTACCCAAATTACGCTGATTTTCGGTACAGTACTGAGCACCTCAGTAGTCCGAGTACTGTACCAACCCTCGGCTGTATTTTTTGGTAAATAACACTTAGAACACATGTGCTACGAGAGGCCGCCATGTTTGCTACCCACTATAGGTCACGTGACTCAGCTGACGCAATCTATTGATTGTACCTCGCTGCAAACTGCAACACTTAGAAGTTTCTTTGTCCTAAAGCCCAGTGCAAGTAAAAAACCACTTTTTAATAATGAGCTGATATCATACATCACATCAATGTACATGTATTTCTCAATTATTTCTAGTGTTCCCAATTTTTCAGAAAGACCAACTCACACACTGCTCTTGTGGCTTATTAAGTGAAGGTCATAAACAAAAATACTCAGTGGTACAGTATGTATGTATAAACAGGTCAATCACTATTCTGTTACGATGCCAAACCAAACAACAGCTAGTCAACCTAGCGTGAAAATTAAATCCCGACTTAAAAGTGATTCATTCCTCCATGTGTGAAAATCTTGCAGAAAAGCCAGTCAATCGACATACTTTGTTGCAACATCCAAGGTGCTTTCCTGATTTCTCCGTGCATTGAGGGAGGCATTCACATTGCCAGACCATCCATCATATTCACCTGTTGAAATATTGTACCTGTAGTGGCCAAAACAAACCCAGAGATTGGGGAAAAGAAGAAATTTACATGACAATTAATGCCAGTCTTAAACGAATATGTAAGTAGCGAACATGAATAAGAACCTAAGAGAATCTCTGTGCACGTGCACAACTTGATGAGATCATAAAAATTTCAGAGCACCAAATTAGGTCAACTCGACATCACATCTCCCATAATCCTTTGGCATATGCCGTTATCTCAAGGCAGCCGCAACCAAGCTTTTGTTTTTACCACTGTGTCCTGAAACATGTTTCGGCTCTGGTTGCTGGTCAGGCTTTTGCAACCTCAGTTAAGCCATTTTAATGCAACTGACATGTACAATTTACCATCTATTTGCCACTTAACATATGCACACCTGCCAAATCTTCCGATTTAATTGGCCTGTTCCAAATTTTAAGTTTTCAAACCACAAAAATGGGAACGTTCTGATTTCCAAGGCACTAAAGAAAAGAAAACCCAAAGTCTCAACAAAAGAGGGCACTGATGCAGAAGAAAGAGGACACTATTTCTAAAAAACAGGGTGCTATTTCTTATGCCCAAATGGCAGTTGGTGCAAATACTTTCATACATGTATGTTCTGATTTCTGACTTTCCAATGTCGGCAGGTTAGTGTATGCCGATAACAACGAAAATTTCCAGTAACAAAATTATGGGTAATTCTTTAATGACTATGTGTAGTTTTATTTCTGGTAGCTAGCAAAACAATGGTTGACTTAAATAAGTCAGAATCCTTGGGTGGTACAAGTTCCGCATAGCACATCTCATTAGTCAGGAAAAACGTCAGAGCACATTCTAAAAACACTATTAACACCTACCGTATTCTCATGACGCATCTTTCGTGCTCAATATTTGGCAGGGTCCAGTTGTACGACAGCGTCTCACCATGGACACCGTTGCCCAGGTGATTGTCACGTGACCAGTGGCTCTCCCGGCAGTCCGGTGCCGCGATGCCGTGGGCAGGGGCTTCTTCCCAGACTCCTCGGGTGCCTGTGCCATCCTGGGCATCGGCTGGATAGACAATGGCCTAGTTTTTTTAAGGGGGGGGAAGGGAATGGGAAAAGCCAATAAATTTATGTAGAGAAGTCAGTTTTGATTTGGATTCAATGTAAGACACATTTCAAATAATCCATGTGGCATGCAAACATAAAATTAAGCAAGTGTAAATTAAATTAAGCTTGGAATTTAAGCAGTTTAAAGTTTATGATAAAGCCCGGTGTTTAATCATAATGAAAAATCAAAAACGGCTGGCAAATGTTTTCCAGAAATTAATTGTAGAGCTTTCACTTCACTTGGAAAAATGAAGCCCAAACTGCGTTAATAACTTGCTGTGGACATTTTGTAACTCTACCGTAATCCTGGCTGTGAGAAAGGATTCCTGTTACAGCGTAATAACCAAAGCAAATCGATCCCATCAACGTAACAAAAAAATATTTCTGCGACGGCAGTGGTACCTTGCTTGTGCATAGGTCACACACACAATCAGTGCTCACTGAATATATAGGGAGCAGGCTGTTCAAGCATTGAAAAACTGCATACTTATGCGAATGCAACATGCGCCATGTGTACAGGGCAATGCTACCCGTATCACCTACTGTACATACTGAACGTGCAGATGTACATGTCATTAATTAGCTTCGAACTGCAGCTGGTAGATAACCCCAGTTACATGTACCAGACACCATATCATTAAGAAGCTGCAACTTGGGGCGAAAGGACAGGAGCTAAGGATTGGTTGATGGTCGTAGAGGTGGAAGAATCAAAGTTCACTGTCACCAGGAATGACACATTTGTATTGCTAAGTGCATATTTAATATTTCAAAGCACTGACGTGGAACTGCATGTGTGGTGATGATGTTCAAAGAATGAAATTTCGAAGCATTCAGTTACATGTGTGTTATACATGAGACGGCAGGGAAGGGCTGAGCTGGCGCTCCAAGTGTTTGCATCTTTTGCATGAAGATACGGTGAGGATCGCTTGCTTGGTTGGTGCATGCATGTATTGGGTCAGGCGTTTACCTCGCATTCTTCCTGGGTGATGGGGATGATCGGCTGACGAGAGTTGATGTTCTCTGCAATCATCTCCCGAGGCAGGGTGCAGACAAAGCGGGACTTGACGTTGGCACTCTCCGCCTGGTAGTAGGGGCACCGTGTAGCGTCGTTTGTCAAGACTGCTATGTCCTACAATTCCAATTTGAAATAAAAAATAAAAGAGCAATGGTGGTTGGAAGCTAAACGACAAGTCTAAACATGCATGAATGTTCCATCAGAGATTTCCATTCACTGATTGAGAATCCAACAACAAGTCTCCCACGGCAAAAGAATTGCCATTCCAGACTTTTGAAAAGTGACTCTGTACATCACTGTAGGTACACGTAAATATACAACACAGACTACAGGAGTTGTTCGAATAATACACCAGGAACTGTAGGCAATTTCACCGATTTTTACAAAAGATTATACCACAAATCATGCATGATGCACACATGTACCAAAACAAGTACAACACATGTATTCAATACTTACAATTAGGTATGGTCCCCATGTACATGCACAGGTATGCATAAAGCATGTGAATGAACTAGACTTGACTTCGGGGTAATTTCAGAAATTAGGGGTCCAGAAGTGTGACATTTTCGTGTTCTTGTTACATCTGACCTTTGTTGTTTGACATGGAAATATCACCGGAATTGATTTTCAACTATTACTATTTGTTTGGCAGGTAATTTGCATTAATGTGTTCTGAACAAATGAAATCATATGTCAAATGTGACAGGGACACGAAAAGAATGGACCCCTAATTTTTACACGTTGCTTGAAAAGCATTTACATGTATAATACAAACTCAGATAAAGGCAGGGGAGTTTCTCTATGCAAGCAAAACAATGCTATGCTCATCAGCCTTCATCTTTAGGCTCTTGGATCAGACCTACTTGTAAGCACAAAGGTAATCTAATGATCCTGTTTTTCCCGAGTGCAAGCCTTCAATGGCAACCTGACAATGCATGCATCTATGGGGCTTATCTCACCCACCCCTCTTTGCTCCAGGTTTATAAGATTACCCACTTACTATCAGCTGTCACATGCTTTGCTGAATGTTTCAGATATCAGTGAATAAATACTCGGGATAAATAGGGTAACTATACCACCATAAATCCGGCCGAGCATTATCTAAAAAAGTACATGCCCATTTGATACGAACAATCCTGAAACTCTTCAAGAGATTATGCTGTGACGCAAAACAAACTGAATCAACCTGAAAACTGTTAACCTTACTTTTACACCTGCACATGTACAGGTACTCATGTAGGCCTGCATGTACCGTATAACTAACACATGTAATTAACCATGTACCATGCTTGATTAAACTAAAGACAATTGTTGTAATGGTGTGAATATCATGTGTGCAGGTGTTTGTTTTCCATTGCCTTGCAGTCGTTTTTACTTTCCAGACGAAAATGTACACATTTTTACACACAAAGAGGAAATATGAACTTCTCCCGGATCTCGCACAATTGAAAGTACAACTTTAAATAACCACAATATCAAAACACTATTTCAAATCGAACTGTAACTAACTTCACTCCTATCCTGATAGCGAGTGTCTTCGCATGCAAGCTACGTGGTAGCTTCAAGAACTCATGTGACACCTGAGTTCTGGGGGGGGGCAGGGAAGGCGTAATGCCCCAAGATGGGCAAATAACAGAATTCATGAATCACATAAAACACTTTTTACAATTTCATGCTTTCCAAATTCTTCTTAACCAAAAGTTTTCCTTGCGGACACAATTTAGTCCAAACCAAAGATTGAAATTTGTAGTATTTGTAAGTTGGTCCCAACAAAGTTTATATGTAATGGCAATAGTTCTTTCTCCTTTGGCATGGTACCAGTAAGATGACGAAAACAGCGCCAAATATCAGGGAACACTGAAAACACTAAAACTACATGTGCATGCCTTACAGTGGTGAAGTCATGAGCAACAGGTATCAGGAAACTTTGGCCAATAACTTGTTTACAAATGACTAGGTATATTTCTCAGTGTTCAGCGCACTTTCCTCGCTTTTTGGCTCAACAAATATCAGCGCCATGGCGTTTCAGCTTACCCTCCATGGCGATGGCCCCCAGTAAGGATAGTAGTCCCTCTCCTCTGGGCACTCATAACCCCTCCTGGTGCCCCCCGGGTTCTGGCGGGTGTACCTTGCCGAATTCCCTTTCAGGTTCTGTTGGGAAAAATGGTCAGATGAAAGACTTGACATGTGATTCACCTTGTAATACACTCCGATTTCAGCCTCTCAAACTGTGCCGCTTGTAATCTTTGCCCCTACTTGAAAATCTGTATCCCCCTTTTTATGTTTTTCTTTTCTGAAGGGATTTATGTGTGCATTCTGAATGCTTTAGGCTTTTGCCCCATTAACACATGCATTACAGCTACGTGCATTGACTTGTGTTGTCCATGTACATGTACGTGCTCCCCACGGTGCTCATAATAATGGACCAGTACTAAGTGTTTGTGTTTCTGGATGTACGGTGCATGTTCGATAAATATTCACTACTTCAGATCCCACCGAAATCTGAAAAGCTATTTCCATGACTTTCCAGGTTTTTTCCATGATAAAACTAGACAATTTCCATGACATTTGACACCATTTTGCCGCGCAAAGTTATTTGGTATTATGACCTGGCAGACTGTCACAGCTACTACTGTAGACAGATAATTTATTATCATTCTATAATCACATCAAAATTGCCCGTCAAAAATGGGAACCTTGCAGAATCTCAATTGACAAAAAGGTTTCCAGGACACTCTATTTTCTCCCAATTTTCCACAAGTTTTCCTTGACTTTCTAGGACCAATTTTTAATTCCAGGATTTTCCATGACCCGGGGAACCTTGTGTGATGTTTTCTTTTCAGCATTTGAGCCCAAGTCAATATTTCTGTTTTCCATGAAAGCATTTTCAGTAAACAAAGCATCCCCTATAAAACACGTCCAAATAACAGGAACGGGATATCTGTTACATCACGTTGCCACATGAGGAAAATATACCCACTTCCTCATACATGCACCTGTAACTGACAGGTAACAATTTCCTGTTACATCAGCGTATTCTTCTCAACCACACTGTCTCATCATTAAGAGATATCAAACAAGACCAACAGACGAACAGGGTGGAGACAATATACATTTATCCTATAATCTTAGCACAAATGTGGCCCCTCCTGCTTTCAAGATTTCCAAGACAGGGTAATTACACAATTGACAATTGACAGGGTCAATTACACAATGCTTAAGCAGCTTACTTCAGACTATATTGTATTTTTATTAGGGATTGTGCTGGTGAATAAGGAAGGTTTAACAATGTCTAATGATGTGGTTGACTGATGATGGTACATGTAGATCTGCTTCAGGGATTATACTGAAGGCTGGCTTTGCACTGAAAAGGGATTTGCCTGTCTGGTCAATAGAAAAGCACCTGCTGTACAATGTACTTCCTGCTAGCTGACCTTCAGTGCTGTACTATAGCACAGAATTTTGGGCAAGGGACACTTCCTTATACAAGCATAATATGCACCTTGCAAACTCATGCTTCCTGAAAAAAATCCAATAATGGTGAACTCAAAGAATGTACATTTATTATTTTAAGCTTAAGTTGAAGTTGCATACACCTTATTCAAAATAATCAAGCATTTTCAGGGTCATTGGGACCCTGGCAGGATGCGATTTGATTCTGGTTGTCAATTTTAGTCATTTTGGCAAGGCTGTGGTTAAAGTTGGGTGGGGGTCCGGGGGGGGGGTGACGTCAAGACTAATATTTACAGATGAGGAGCCATCACACGTACCTGGTCAGCCGTGAAGAGATTGGCCTGTCGCTGTCTCAGCTTGCAGTTAAGGTAGTGATCATAGGATTCGTGCATGCCGTATTCAATGTCCTGATTACAGTCATACTCAGCGCAGTTACTGGGCCACTCTGGTATGGTGCTGGAAGTGTCAATGTTACAGTTAAAATCATAAAAACACAACAGACATGGCGGTATCAACACAACATTTAAGACGGTGGAGAGCAGACAATCTAGTTTCCAGTTGCAGTGATCTATCTTAAGTAATTTCTTAGCAGGCAAGAATCTCTGAATAAAAGAAATGTACAAATAATGTTCCGAAGATCCCAGTAACTACATCAAGACATCAAATACTCATCGAGAGCAGATCGTCTGCGACACTATTGTCAGGATTGTGTTCATGGCTGGGGGAAAGGGTTAGCTATGTGCGACACCTGTTGGACTGCAAAGCATGCCTTATTAATTCAAACAGAAGAGGAACATAACAAAGAAACAAGAACACAAATGATTAACTACTTCCCTCAGGGGTCAATGTTTTTCCAACCCAACTCTGTTAGGCCATGGGCCGAACCCTCAAAAGTGGCACATTCACCTGGTCGTAGATCCATCTCGGACGAGGTCCCCACACATGTACTGCAGGATGATCTCGCAGTGGGAATTTGGGTCAGAGCAGCTGTGCTGGTTGGTCCTACAAGTCACAGAAACACGATATATCTTGAACAGCACAGCTGACTAATTATCCCTGAAAGAGGGGTAAGGGGTGGAATGGGAGGAATCCTCCTGCCTTCAACAATTTTGGGGAATATCACTGCCATGCATTTTTATTTCACGCCAAGCCTTCAGGAGTTTTTCCAGTCATGTCTTTAAATCAGTTTGACCCCAATGTTATCAAAATCAGACAAAGCATTCTTGCAAAATGCCCATTTTTTCAGTATACAGTAGGTCAGCCAAAAATGTTCACTCTTCCCTTTGATGAGCTCAATGCACCTTCAAATCAACACACACATACATGTACATGTACATTAAGGCAACATTTTATTTTCAGATGCTTTATACTGAAGATGATCAATCCTAAATACTGTACTGTACATGTACATACATGTACATACATTACATGGGTAATGCAGTAATGGAAAGAAATTTCAATAATACCACCCATTTCAAGTCTTTCCATGGGCACACTGAGAACTACATGCACATGTGTGCACTGTTTCCATCTATCGAAATCTGTAGCCAAATTGAATTGGACTGGCATCAGTTATTACTGCTATAAGTTTGCCACCCAACTGAATAAAAAGGATAACTGTACACACACAAACCCGACAAGTAAAGTGTGTTGATTAGTGCTCGATTTGCTCACAGATGTCATGCATTTTTCTATACGGTTGACAGGCCACGCGCTTTGCTTTTAAATTACAGCTAACTCTTTTCAATGGAGGATTCTACAAAATCTTTCCAAGAGGAAATAACGAGCCCTGCCTACATGTAAGGCAGTAAAAGTATGTACAAAAAGAGGGATTCAGAACAACAGTACCATTCCACTTGCAGCACTGAACCAGCCATGTATGCCAGACTGCCAACATTGTAACCTCCTCGGTTGTTATTCTGCGAGTCAAATAACCTGGGGAAAAGATGGGAAGGGTGTAATTACACATGGCAGACAGCCGGCGACATCCAAGAACTTTGTATAAAATGTCTTTTGGCCCCTACACAATTCCAAATCTGTATTCTCGTGACTGAAGGATTCCTGCGTGTGGAGTGAGAATATCTCATAGCATTTCTAGCAACCAGAGAAAATGCATACTCTCATCCATCCACATTAGTATAATTAAACCCTGACCTCCCTCAGTCCTCAAAAATCATAATGCTGGCTTTTGATGATTTTGCAGAATTGAGGATAAATAGCAATTGAAGCAAATGATGATTTTCGAGAATTGAGGATGAACGATGATTGAAGCTGATGATGATTTAGGAGGATTGAGGATGAATGCATTTTTGAAAGATAGCAATTTGATGATTTTAAAGGTTTGAGGATGGTGCCCAGTAATTTGGGATTAGGGGGTTAGGGTTAACAGAGGTGTAAGTGGCCACTTAAAATAAAATCTAAAAACACCTACAAGTAGGAAGCTGAAATGTAAAAAGTTCCCATACTTTTGTACGAAGACTAGGTACAAAAATGCTGAAATTCAGGGTCAACATCTTACCAAAAAAGCCAAAATCAGCTAAAAAGCTGAATTCTCACACCCCTGTATAAGGCCCTAATGAAGAAATACAATTTTTACAATCGGAACACAAAGGGCATACAGGCTTACCCACGCAAATAAAATCAAACACTGAAAAATTACCTCCCTTGTGGAATTCCATGTGTGATGCTGAGGGACCACACAGAAAAAGACAAACAAATAAAACAATCTAATCCCCCTTTGAACACGTTGAAGAAAGTATCTTTTCTAGAATGTCCCCAATCAAACAAACTGAAACTTACAATTAATAATAATCCTTAAGAATTTGAGAGAATGGCAGTGTCAATTATTAAGTTCCTTGGCCCCTGTTCATGATTTTGTCAGTTGAGAGATCACACTGATTCTGACCTGTTTCCATTGTTTCGTTCTCTCTTGGCCTCATCAAGTCGATTATTGCTCCCCCTATAGTCAAATTCACACAGAAAATCCATTAAAAAGATATTAGTTTAATAAATTGAATACATGTACCGACAATGAGCTTTGGTGCTCATTAGAATGGCATGTGACACTTTACAGGTATGTCTACGTGTATAAACTGATGCAAGAGAAGTGAAAGGAATGTTTCACTTCCTGTGACTACATGTACATTATTACACTGGTTAGCACAAAGACATGGCATTTTACATTCCTAAAACAAAAGTTGGGTTATTAGCTATTGGCTTTGGGGTAAACCAGAGAAAACCAAAATACATGTAATGTGAATTGAACAAGTAACTTTGGTTTAACACTGATGTATCATCCATAATTATTATTCAGGAAAAAAATCCTAATGAAGTTGACCATCACAGTTTTTGAGTGTCAACAAAACCAAGTTTAAAAAGGGGCATCATAAATTTAGGGGGATATTAGTGCAAAAAATGTGTGGCTTTAATAACTACAGGTACTTGTAGGGGGCACAAGTTGAAAAAGTAAGGTTAACTTCACACTGCATGGCACTAAAAAAATGTCAACTTGAAAGCTTGAAAGAAAACAGTAAAGTAGAATTTACAAGTAACAGTACCATAGTCAGTAGTCAGCCAAGAGAACTTGTGTGGATAGGACATTCATATGAAAAAAGCAACAGACAATGTAACATGTTTTTTATCATCATTACATGCACATACATGTGCAGTACATCTATGTAAAATGTGCTTAACAACAGCAACCAATCACTTGAAAACATAATTAAGGAAAGAGTTCAACATACGGAAAACACTATTCCCTTAAAATACATGTATTACAACAGCCATCAGAAGGTGGTGACATGTCCTAAAAAGCAAAAACTAGCCTGTGTTAGCTGAGAAAATTCTGAAGCAATTTACTTAGAAAACACTAAGGCCAAGGTTTTGGGCAAGTCTCATAGGTCTGTGTACAGAGGCATCAAGTGTTGCCCATGTATGGAACTATTTCAGTCATGTCGGTGGCGTACATGTAGCTCGGATTTGGGGGCACCAGCTTTCAGTGGTGTGGTTTTGGGGCATTGGGGCAAGTTTATGTTAGCTTTATTGTTCAAAATCCAGTCATTAATTTTTTTTTTGGGGGGGGCAGTAATTTGTAGGGGGTACGTGCCCCCAGCCCCCCCCAGCTACGCCACTGAACTCTGTCCCAAAATTACATTAATTGTATTGATTAATCCTATCCATATTCCAGTATCAGATTTGAAGTTTCAATTACATGTAATCTAGGCCTATTAAAAATCAACTGAACATGCTGAAGGACGCCGGATATTGACGCATGAACATGATGACTGAGGATCCAAAGAATCAAATCCTTCATTCTTGTACTCTTCCTTCCTCCATGCCTTTTCTCCATGCCTAGACCTAGTTCATCCCTGTCCATAATGAACTGCACAAATTTGTCAACCAAGCATATCATATATGAAATAAAACGTTAAATTTACCTCGGGTTGTGAAGATACATGTCACCATTCACTCCAACCACAGCCATCAAAAGCAACCCTAATACTAAGCTTTTCAACTTCATTTCTGACGTTGCCCGACACTTATCCACGAATTTAATCAACAGGATTCCTTTCTCTGTTGACGAAAACGGAGTTTTAATTGCGAACCAGCGCAGCAACCTCTCTGAGGAATCTGATCGGGCCGAACTGCTGCTGCTAGTCTAGTCACAAACATGCAAACAACTATTGTTGACCTGTGACCCTCGTGTGCAGTGCAATGAGACGTAATATTATACTACTGCTGGTGCGCAACAAACAACAGCTTTTTGTAACCCTCCGCAAATACAGTGCCATAATGAAATACAACACATTTTGCCATTTAGTCACAAAAATCATGTTCATTTAGCCACGTGGATGGCTACATTTTAAATGCATACCGGTTTGTATAGACTATCAATTTTTCAGGCTAATACAGAATTTCTGACCCTGGCGGATTAATCTTGAGCAGGTCGTATACGGTTTTGCATTAACGTAAAGAACCATTTCAGGAAAAGTGAGTCATCATGGAGATCATATAGTTTATCACGGTTTACCTTTTCCTTAAAATTTTAAAGCAAAGGTTCAATGTTTTAGACGTATACACCCGAAATGAATAACTTTTGTATGTGTGACCCATTTTCCCGTAGGTATTTCCGAACTTAAAATCCTGCATCTCTCCCCCACATCATACAAGGGGGAAAGAGGGGTGCAATTCTGCGCCGCAGTATTTTTGTCACGCTTACGTCTAAAACTTTTGTTTTACTTCTCTATGTTATGAAGTAGTAACATTAAACAAGGCATATGATTCAATTTATATGAACAACTTCAACGGTCCCTCATTTCCTCTTTTTGGTTTAGAATATGACAAATATTTACCAACATCCAGGAAATGTGGGATCTACTTCATCCCAAACATGCCAAACCAAAGGAAGCAAAGAACGAAGTTCCTCAAAATCACAGATTTCAATTTAAAAAGGTACATTCAAGAAATTTTCAATCTACCTTAAATTAGTATCTAGCTTATTAATTTTGGTCTCCTTCCTTCGGACCTAAAATGCCACAAACTTGCTTCAGAACCAGGTTTATGTAACAAATTGAAACGTATTTTGTCATCACTCCTAAAAATAACTGTTCAGTGCGGGAGTAATGATTTCTGATAATTTAAACATAGAGCTATAAAAAGGAACGATGCGTCAGTAATATGTCGGTGAAAAATGAATCCTTATTTGGGAAGTCTGAATGGCACCCACCGTGCGCTGGAACTACTTTTTGGCTGGCTTGCGCTTGCGCTTGCGTACTACGTACTAATTACTCATCCATATCAACATTGGGCACAGGTGGCTCCGTGGCATGAGAGCTTGACATCCGAACTTGCCAACTGACTGCATCACTACTACCGTGATGGCATACTAGACGAGACGAAGGGGAAAGAGACTTTGTAAGTACAGTCTTGGTTCACCGACCGAATCCAACAGGTAGACATGCTACTTGCTAGAAGTACTAGAATAACCATGACAACAGGCCTCTTAGTCTTGTTTTGTTCAGCACTCACATCAACAAAACCCCACAGAAAGTGACCAGCTGACCAGTGACACTGTACTGCGGGACATCGTTGGGTTTAGCGTGGTTTTAGGGTTGAAGTTTTCTTCTGTCAATTGTCAGTTATTATGATGTATACATCCAAACTTAAAACAACACTGGAAATTGACTTATACACACCTAAATAGGCCTATGTACATGTATGTAATTACTAACACTAGATGCGCACATCATAACTCAGGGAGTGTCCTTGAACTCGGCAAAAGTTTTATTTGGAGACAGAACCAGGGGTTGTTATTGCAGAATCTTGCTATTTTAAATTGTGCACAAAAAACATTTTGCTGTTTGCGTGTATTCAACATGGCTGTTCCTCTTTACTTGGTGAGAATTTTGTCTCAAAAGTCCATTGTTGGAGGAAAACACACCTGTGAAAATTATAAAATATAAAAAAACAGGGCAGGTGTGAAAATTGGACAGGCTCTCGGTGAACCTGACCATTGATTAATTTTAAATGGCCTTATAATTGCTAATCTTAAATTGAACATCTTCAGACAAACTTGGAATCTCCAGTATGATTAGTCGATCCATGGTAACAAACAGTGCGACATGCATAACTATATGTATTGCACATTTCACATCAAATCAGTCACTATTCCATGCACTATTCTAACTCTGCACATTTCGCTTTATGCGAAACACACAGCTGCAAAATGTACTGCAAAATTTCAAAGCTGGTGTAGTTGCACACATACATGTAGGCCCGTATAATAATGCGCATCAAAGGCCGAGTGGTATACCGGACACAGACGCACTACATGTACATTATTCCGTGTTCCACTCACACTGGTAGTGGTACATGTACACAAATGTACATGTCAGGCTCATTATGATCAGCATTCAAACTGCCAAGGATAAAATCTTTTTGCTAAATGTGAAGTACATGTAAACTGGTGCAGGTTGAACTCGTTCATGTACATTTATGTACAACATGTAGGGGTATTAATGTTCAACTGCCTGTATACGGGTACATGTTCTGATACGTGTTTTCACTTCATACCAGTGTTTGGTACATACACTGTAACAGCTTCACACGATTTGTGTGCTGTCTTATAACATTACACAAACTAATAACCAGTACATATACATTCACAGGGCCGTACATGTTCACCTTTTGCATTCCTACTTTGTCCACTGCATTCATGAGGCAGGTGAGGTTTAGTTGGAAATAAACACTTGATGAGAAAAAAAAATCAGTAGAATGTAGTGACATCCGTATGAAACAGCAATTTTGTCAACTTTAACCCAACAGTAATGCAAAAACTTCTCCAAAGGCTAGTTTTCACAGAACGTCAATTATTTACATGTACACGTAGATGTTATTATGTCCAGTTCTACTGGGGAACCGGAGTTGGGCGTGGCCAACTATGTTGCTGTCCCAGTCTGTTCTGCCCCGAGTGGTTGGCACCATAGCAATTGTGGTGCTGCTGGAGTGATGGTGTCTCCTTAGAAGTCTGTAGAGATAACTCTAGTATCGCCACTGATTCCTTTGAAATTGTGTAAATTTAATATTGGAGGTTTCATGCATTGTTGAGTGTGATTTTGTAGATTTTCTCTTGTTGTTAGTGTGTGGGGCAGGTGGGGTGCAGTACATGTATTATTATTATTATTGGTTTATTAAAAACAAATATTGCAGCTAAAGGCTAAATTGCATTTTTTCTGCACTTGTAGAAAATATTCTTATCATATCATGATACTGTGGGTGTCACAGAAGGGTGCAAGCTTCTCCTCTGGAAAAAAGTTGAAAATAAAGGAAACCCAAAGGGAAAAGTGACGGATACAAAAAAAAGATGAAAGAAGTTGAAAATCACCAATTTACATGTATACTCAAAATTGACCCCTTCCGTTGTTCATTCTTTATCGGTTCTTAGCAGAGATTTGCTTCTCCTCCCCCTCCCCTGAAATCCTCCTGCCCTGAATGAAAGTGGTTTGCCCCTTCCTCGATGGAAAACTGCTGGCGATGCCCATGCATGATGCCTTTTTGAGTACGCCAAGAGGGTAGGGGAAAGGAGCAGGTGAGAAAATGGGTACAGTCTTGGAGATGTTGGAGATGTGCGTCATACTCCACACCTCCCCATTCTTGGGAGCATTGTAAAAATAATGATGCATTTGGTTTATATATACTGCACTCACTGCAGGACAGTCAGTCGTTCACTTTGTTCCGTGGATGCAATTTCATCATTGCTTCAACATCACTTGTGTCAAATTTTAGGCAATATCCAGGAAGAGTGGAAGATCCTACTGTACAATCTCAATAGTGTCTGGCACGCAACTAGAATCATGATGCGCTGTGTAGCAGTGTTCCTGCTGGTGGTGTTTGTCTGCAGTAAGGCAGACGTCTACATGCACAACCCAAGAGGATCAAACAACAGACTTAACGAAAGATCTGCCAATCGCCAAAATGGCAACAGAATGTTTGACTCCCAGGTGAGCGGTAAAGAAACCTCAATTGGTGTTACGGGCCACCCTGAATTATACATTATTTCCCTTTTCCCCTGTCAGAGTGCACAAACACAAGAAGGCAAAAATTATTTGTTATCATTTTTAGTATTTTTGAAAGAGCACAAGGCCCATTAACCCACCCCCCCCCAATTTGTCCCCATAGTGTTTTGGCTATCCACGTCAACCACACATGTGTTTCAACATGCGGAGTTCCTGCACTTGTACATTTCAGATACATGTACACATGTATACATGTATGGGTGTGCACGGGTACATGTATGTACATGAGGCACTGTACCCAAATCTGGGTTCTCCCATCTGTTTGGCTACTGGTTGTCCACTAGTAGGACTAGGAGATCTCCATTGGAGGTGGAGCTACATGTGTACATGTATGTTGTAAAATCTCTCTTGGGCCACTTGATACCAACTGATTTTAAAGCAGTAGAATCACGTCAATGCAGCATGTGAAATAAACTGGACATGGGATGCGCACGCAGAATCTGAGACAAGCCAAACCCAATGCACCAAATTCCATAGGGTTACCATCTGAGGCAAAACAGCATCAGGTCAATTGTCATTTGTAGCCTTTGTTCAGGTATATGGTATGTAACCACAGTGTTAACAAGGGGACAGCAGGTACACACATGATGATCCTGCCATTCCGTCAATAAGGAAGTAAAGTTTCAGAATTAAACACCTGTAAATAGGTGTTACAGATAACTGCTCTGGTGAATTTCCTTGAGGATTAAATGTTCATTTCAAAGGAAATCATCAGCGTACACGATGTATAATTGTTCCAAACAAAAAGGATATTAAAGCTCTGACGTCTCTCCTTCCTGGTTCTTTCCTACTACCTTGACAAAGAAGCCATGTACATGTATTTTAAGGAAGTACACACACTGTAACAGTGCATATCATGCCCTTACGTGGAACTGTAGGTTATACAACAGGCAGTCCTTGGTACTTCTCGTCATGGTTATTGGGCACCTGGTGTAAAAACAGGAAATGGGTTGTTCATGTGAAATGATTCTGAGAATAAGGAAATTGCCAAATTTATTGTGCTTCATTGCAAAAGTGATCTTTTGTACTGTTGCCGTTTTTGGGTTGTTAGTTTGTCAATTTTTTTTTATTCCTTCAAAGGGTTTTGGAAGTATTGAGAGCTGATACAGGCTTGCAATTTCTGCCATTTTGAAGGAAAGGAATTCCTTTTCACTGAGCAGCCCGAAAGCATTTCTCATGCTGCCATACACAGAAGAGAATTGCAATATTTGCCCGCACCACTTTTTATTTTTGTTGAATGTACATGTCTTTGTTTGCATCTCAAACTGACGTACTGTTCATCTCGATAGTTTGCTGCAGCACAGACTGTCTTATCATGTTTAGTTTATGGGAAATACGTGACTCAGTGGTACACAAGACTTTGTAGTGCAACCAGCGACGTGTTCCACATGGACAGTGTACATGTACCTGTAGGTTAAATGATGCTAGTGATGACTTTCTTTGGCAGAAAATGATATTGTGTGTCAACAGTTGACATCTATATGTACATGTACTGCTGTGACACAAATAATGCCAACAGACTGTTTTTATCAAAGTGTTATTGCAGGACACACTAATTTGCAAAAAGTGAGAGATACTACTAGAGAGACAGAGAGGGAAAACCCAAACAGTTTACCCCAACAAGCAGTAGCAGATTTCTACCCAAGTTGAAAGGATTTCTGTATATTGTACCATACATGTACATGTCATACCTGTAGTACATGCAAATGAGTGGGGTTTAAAATCATAGTATGATAGTGAGAAATGTGTATCTTTCCTTAACTGCCCAAAACCTGCCATACTCCAACAGCAGGTTTTGTGAGATTTTGGCAGATTTGGTACCGTACCTGATGAACTTCTTGTTGAATTTTGTGAGACTTAGGATGAAAGGCCCAGGGAGATGGTGTTGGATTCTGTGTGAGTTGGGACACACACGGGCCACTATGTGCAGTGTCTGGCTTGCTGTACCAATTGTTGGACTATGCTTGATTTTGTCAGGTTTGGTACTATTCAGTGCAAGTCATCCTATACTGCATAGACCCATCCAAACCATATCACTCAAACTCCAACGGGCTCATTCTGTTGGAGTTTATCAGGTTTGGTACAGTAACCTGCATGTACAAGTACCGGTACATAGACATGTACATGAACCTTATGGATTTGGTGAGGTTCAGGATGCTTTCTAGTGCAGGAGCCTAGGGGGTTACATGTAGTGTGAAGCCTTCAACGTCCTCTATAGTGCAGAACTACAAGTCAACAAGCCAGTCGCCCTTGCAGTTGCACCTTGTTAAAGCTTAGCTTTGGTGGGAAACCTGTCTCAATCAAAGTCCTTCTCTACCTCCTGAAGACACCGATTACGTACCTGTAACCTGCCCTACACATTGTACAGTGTAGAGCAAAGGTGGTACAAATTCAAGGCGATGGCATAAAATGAGCAATACATACATGTACCAGTAATTTAAGGTGCCTCTTGGGGATGGTTTTTGTTGTGGGGCAAGTACATGTACAAAAGGTATCGTACATGTACAGTGCACAGTCAACATGCCATGGGACCGGAGTACATTACTGTGCAGTGTACATGTTTGCTTGTCTACACGTACATGTAGTGATTGTCTTCGGTAATTTTGTGTCTTTTTTCCCACCCTGATTTGATTTATCAGAATAACAACAGAGGTGGTTACAATGTGGGCGATTCAACAAGCCAAGCATCCAACAATGAAGATCAGCAGTATCGAATGGTAAGTACAAGATTCATGCACCAGTACATGTATGCAGGCCCCCGCTGGCCTGACTGTGGTTCTGCATTGTATGTGATGTACATGTATATAGAAGGTTACCTATATAATACATGTTATCTTCTGATCTTTGTAAGACGTAATCTGGTGTTGCCTGATAACCTGTTCCTTGCTCCATGGTGTACATGTCATGTACACTATATGTACAGGTACATGTTCACGTACAGTAGCGGTACATTCCAAATAACTTGGAATAAGAAATTATCTTCGCACTTTTTCTCTTCCAAGGGAAGTCATTCTCATTTTCACAAAATGTGAAAAACTTTTCCCTAAACGATTCTTGTGCTTTTTTCACAGAAGCAGGAAAACATTTTCACCCACGTGGGAAATTCTTTTCACACCCTGTGAAATATCAATGTGAATGTTGAATCTTTTCTCAAAATTTCCTATTCCCACTCAAAGTGTTACCTTCAACAGCTATGTACATGTACCTGTAAGTGTGATCCTTTAAACCCATTGCAACTGCTTTTAGTCAGAGAGTTTTCTTTGTTGTAACACAAACTTATGACACTGATTGTTTACTTTCATTGTGCAAATATGTGACATATATGTATTTAGGAAAATGATGAAATACTGTCTTTCCACAAGATTGCTGTTGCTTGTGTTTTCCATCTGACCTTTGCATCATCAGTTATTGCTGTGTGCGAGGTATCTGCTGTTTAAACATGTTCCTTGCACTTGTCCCGGCCTCCACAGAAATATTTTGAGAGTGGTCCCTACAAGACCATGGTCGCCAATGGTCAGCTGACCGGCCAGGGACAGAGCCTCATGACCGTGGAATGGACCAATCAGCACGGCTGCGGGGGTGACGAAGACACCGACCCCCACAAGCTCAACTGTAACATCGTCTTGCAGTACATGTGCCAAGACGATGCAGCTACTGCAACAGGTAATCAAGACATGCATTAATGACGCGAAGCACAGCGTGAACCTACGGTCCACTGTCGGACATTGTCTGATCATTTGTATCATTAATTTGCCCAACCCCCCAGAAAGCAGAGGTGGTCTGACCAAATGTAAGAGATGTCAAGGTGAAAGCCTCTCAATTAAGCAAACTCCTGTTTTTTAATCTGGTGTCTGTACTTCTGCTGTTAAAGCTGCGACTGAGAGTGTTTTCTCATGTGACCTTGGTACATGTACGTTTCTGGTGAAAACCACGTATTTGGCCTTGTTTGGTGCTCTGATACGGTGTGTGATAATACTTAATAGCACTTTAGGAGAAACATGTACGGTACATGTACAGTTTGCAGCATTGTTCATAACTGTACTACTTGATTCTATTGAAATCTTGACAGAAAGGTATGGTAGCCTGTTGTTTCATTCTTATGTACGAGATGATTGGCTTTTTTTTTATGTAACACATACCGGTACATGTATGTAAGTTACGCTGTATAATGGATTTTTGAGATAGAGTCAGCATTGTGGAAGTCAGTTCTATTCGAATCCATTGATAACCGAGCAAAACCAGGTTTTTTTAGTTTGCTTGTGTTTGGGGTTTTTTGGGAAAAGGAGTAATTAAAAGACTAATCTTTGGACGGCATGTGCTAATCGTGTGTCCTTCTGACATTCCCAGGTGATGATGACACAATCCGCAACGGACGCACCACCCAGACCCAGAACCACCAGCGCATCAACAACCTCAACGAGAACCAGAATCAGGCCAACAACCGCAAGAACAACGCCGTGAGGGATGACCGCGGCCTGCACGAGACCTGGGACTGGTATGACAAGTGTTACAACAGGGAACGCAACATGGGTAAGAGTAAATCAAGGTTAAACAACAACTCAACTCAAAACAACACAAATAAATCACATGGAATTCAGTGGATTTTGCCACTTTAATTTACAGTTTTCTTTTTGAATTCTTTGCCTTTTTGTGTTCTCCCTCGGAGATGAACCACGAAGTGAAACTATGATATTATGTTTGCAGCACATGCAAGGTGAATCATGTGTGACGTGCATTGTTTCAACTGTTATGCTGGTTCCCGGTGCAAAATCAGGAGAATGTTTGGTATTTCTGAATGTTTGGTGTAGTGGCGCTCATCATGGCGGTGGGCTGCCGTACATACTTGTACAATATAATGAGGGAAAGCTTTAGTGTTGATTCAGCGTAAAGGTCACCATGCAGCGGGGGGGACAAGACTGGCAACTTTGCCATGGTAGAATGTTATTGGGCACGTCATCTCTATCTACGTCTCTATCTACGTACTCTCTACATGAAAAGGGTTACCATTGTCATGGAAAATCCTGGAAAAAACATTTCCCAGGAAGAACATGGGACATGGGGGGAGGAAGTAGGGTGTCCAGGAATCTTGTCCTAAGAAAAAAGTCATGGAAAAGTCATGGAAATCAAGATCATGCAAGGGTTATTTTTGAAGGCCTGTTTTTGATGTGAAAGTACAATAATAAAGTTTTAGTTACTGTGGTAGTCTTTTCTCAGTAATTGAAATATCATGGAGATTGTCTTTTCTTTTAGTTCTGGGAAAACCTGGAAAAGGCATGGAATTTGATTTTCAGATTTCTTTTGGAACCCTTCATGAAGCTAATTAAATCCTCTGAACCGGCTGTTCTCTTTCCAGGGCTGTTCACAGCTGACCAGAAGCTGAAAACCAACAACGGCAATGGCTACAGCTCGGCCATCTACACCCGCCAGAACCCCAATGGCAACCGGCGTGGCTATGAGTGCCCCGAAGAGAGGGACTATTACCCTTACTGGCACCCTTCCCCCTGGAGGGACATGGCCCTCCTCGTCAGTAATATGAGTCTGTGCGAGTAAGTGGCCATGGCACATGCCAGAAGGCTTGGAGAGCATTCCTGTTGCACAGGAAAATAATCAAACCCTTGTTCTAACCACAGTTCAATTTGAATAGATCGACTCAGTAGAATCATTATTCTGTGTCAACCTGAGTGCTGACATCTCCACCTTGCATTTCACATACACTTGACTTCCCATCCTTGATATTTGGAATGCATGCTCACCAATGCAGGGATCCCAGGAATGTTAACTTAGCATTATGCTATCTCAGGATATGGGATTTAGGGAGGAGACTTCTTTAATGATCTCTTACATATTCCTTGATTTAGGATTTATACCGTCAGAAAGTCAAGCCCAAGATTTTATTTAATATTTATTTTTTTTACATGAACAGGTTCTACCAGTCAGAGAGCTTCAATGTCAAGACAAAGTACGAGTGCGTCGAAACCTATGGAAACGGTCAAGCCAAGCACTGGTCCCGGTGGAACAATGAAGCTGACTGCACCGAGAATGGCGGCCAGTGGCTGGCTTTCACAAACTACCTGGAAAAAGCTCCCCGTATGTGTTTCCTGTTGGGTTTGATCAAAATGCCCCGCCCCCAACTATGGCACTCATTGAAATCATGTGCATAGAAGGACACTGTGATAGTATGCTGATTCTATTCTGTGTATGCACATGTACGTCCTTTGTACTGGTTTGCTCAAAAGTTTACGCACTCTTCAACTGTATAGGTTTTATTACAGGGTTTCAGACTTCATCTGTTGGCAACCATTCCTCTTGTATAACTGATCAATCCAGGTGTGTACATGTACATGTGTAGTGTGTACATGTACATTTGTACTGTGCATGCATTTCAAAATGCCATTTTCAGGTTAATCTGAAAATTATGGATTAAGCAGATTAGCTGGAGGATAAGCTGTGAAAAGAGAATCGACTGCCAAGAATTGGCACAGTCTTAAAAATCCATGCCATTCCAACCAAACTGGCTGATTTGAGCAAATGAGTTAAGAGCAATCTAAGGAAGCAGTGTACACATGTATCCTTACAAAGAAATGCCCTGCTGTATTGAAGACATTCTTGTGTTTGATATATGAGATGACAGTCAGGTGTTAAAACAACAATGGTAATGACCATTGTGAATTACTGTTTGTGACCTTAAACTGTATCAAAAAGTTAGCCGCTGGTTTTTTTTTGGTTTTTGTTTTTATAAGTCTAAATTTTCACCAAAAAGCACAAGATTCCAGACACTGTTACTTGACTGGGTCCATAAACCATCCATGTTCATGTACCGTACACTTTCCAGAGTATAACAACGAGGCAGCCTGTGAAGCAAGGTCTGGAACCGATGGGGTACGGTACGTCTGGGGCCGGCCGGAGGGAGAAATGGCTGAGCAGTGCCTTGTGGCCGTGGACCCTCCAGACTGCCAACCAGCACCCTGGACACGCGTCAATCACCTGGGCAACACCAGAGGCGGGAAGGCCAGCCGCTATGAGTGGACCATACCGTACTTCCCATCTGGCAATGATCAGCGATGCGTCATGCGACTGAGGTACACCTCAGAAACTTATAATAACATCTACATGTATATACCGTAGGCTTGCAGCATATCATCAAAGGTCAGAAGACCAGATTGATCTTGTTTTTTTCAAGTTCATGACCTCTCTGCAAGTGGTGATGTCAAGTTCTCAAGTGTATCAGACATGAGGCGCTGGGTTGAAAAATGTCTCCAAATCTTGACTGTCACAAGTGAGCTTTCTGTTATCCAGTGAGGACGCTTTGAAATATACATGCCCCCATATGATGGCGTGGCACCATCGCATTCTTTTTATTCCAACATTTCCAACAGATCTACAGTTGACATATGACTGTTTCCTGAAAGGTTTGCATAGACTGTCAGCTTGATTACACTGTGGTCTGGTATTTGGCCTCTCTGATTACAATTCCCAGTTGTGGCACATAACAGAAACTGGTTCCAGCATATAAGGGTATTTTTCTTTCATAGTTCGCAATTTAACCTGTCCGTGCGGGAGGATTTGTAAACCCATGATTTTCTACAAGCACCTGGCAGAGGAAATTTAATCACGGCATGATAGTTATGCTCACCCCTCATGTCCCGTTGGTTTTGTACAAGCAAGAAGAGACATTGATGCGGCATGAAATGCCACACGCGTCTTGAACAGATCATGTCTAAAGGTGGTCATCTTTCAAGCACATGGAAAGGCTGTTAAATGCCAATGGTTTTGAAAGGCAGGAAATTCCTGAAATTCATTTCTTGCTCAGAACTGCTGCTAATTTTTGAATGGAAAAAGTCAGTCATACATGTACATGTTCTTGGGTATAATTTCCATTGCAGATACAATATCACCACGGATGACTACGATCCCATCAATACCGATGCCAGTCAAAATCAAGACATGTGAGTATAGGTCTAATGTCCCATTTATTTGTAGCATTGTGCAGGCTTAATTCAAATGGTGCAGTGATCATCACAGTTGGCTTTGTGAATGGGTAAAGGAGGGGCATTGCTCTTGTGCCCTTCCATCGTTAATGGCCCTGGCCACGTGTACTTGCTTTTCAGTAGGACAAACGCTTCCAGTTGTAGACAGTAAAATGTCGCGGCTTCATGGTAGGGCAGATTGACCCCGATTCATTCTGTAGATTGTGCAATGTGAGAAGGCAGCCCCCCCCCTTTTAACTTGTGCCTCCTCTTTTGTAATGTTGAAATGTACTCAACCTTTGTAACAGCCACAGTTGACTTGTTTTCATTGACCCCTTGAAAACATGCTCGCCCCCCAGGGTGCTCTATCGGAAGTTCCATCCTTAGTTACATCACAGAACGTGAGAATAGGAAATTTGTATGAGTCCGTTGGGCACACATGACTCATTACCATTGGCTCCAGTAAATACGTGTGCTTTGAGAACATCCCAAACGGTTTTCTTTCCACAGAAATGCTGGCGTACTGTCTCCTATTCAGCAGAATCCATATGTGGATATCGGCGCTGACAGGCTGGCCCTGCGCTTGGCTATCAACACGGCCCAGTATGGCCGCACCTTCCAGGACCGATCCCACGCCTTCCTGATACGGCAGCGCCCCAATGTCCCAGGTATTGTACTCAATCACAAATCACAATAAGAGAGGTTGAATCATATCAAGAAAATGAAGGAAATACCCCCGTTGTACTTGATGTGAAATAGTTCTTGTTTCACTACAAGATGGCATGTTATGGCGGAGTTGGACCTCATTCAGATTAACTCGATCCAGCTTTGGAGTCAACTCTTCAGTTGGAATGGTTGAGTATCGTCCTAGCCATAACCAAAACTTTCCAATGCAGCATCATAATTGCCTAATTGCCGCCCTTGGCAGTAAGAGCTGTGGTTTGCAGGTAGCAGTGATGTCACCTAGTGTTCCGCCTTTCAGTGGGCTGTCAAGTTGCTCAGACAACTGCAAGCATTCATCAGCCATTCTGTCCAATTCTGGCTAAACTGCCCCAAAATTACTCAAGGGTGCAATCATGTTCAGTGCATGTGGACAAATGCATGAAACCAAATCATCGGCTGTGAAGTTTACTGCTTGGAACTTAGGTAAATTGGCAGTGGAAATTGTGCCCTGATGTCTCATATTCATGCGTTGGCATGTAAAATAATTTTTGTGGTTTCCATGTTTGCAGTTGCCAGTTCATAAGTATGACAGTGGAGCAGGTTTCTGGGAATAGTAATTTGTATGGTTCTGTATGGGTATGGATGTGGGTGTGCCTCTGACATTTATCATTTCTCCTAAATGTGCCGTAGGATAATTGACAATTTCTTCACCTGCATGTATCGCCCAATCCCATTTGCACACACAGACATGGCAGCGGCCAAGATCTACAACCTCAACGTGCGGGGAAAGCGGGGTAACATTGTTCAAGTGTACCCGGCCGTTGAGTACGACTTCATCCCCAACGACCTGGAGATCAACGAAGGAGATCTCGTCCATATGCAGTGGACAGGTGGGTGAAGAGGGAGTTACGGGCGCACTTGAGTTGAACCAAGTAATTGCTCAGCGTGCAGTCCCGAGCCCAGTTGACTTTGATGGACCATGTGTGTGTGAAAATTAGATGAGCAGATCAGAAATCAGGCTTTAATTTGACCCCTTGTGCTTGCAGGTTTAGCCATAAGGACTAGGACGTTTTGGCAGCCTACAACTCGGCTTATTTCTTCAGTCCTAAGTGGATGTCTTCACTGCAAACATCTCTTTGTTATCCAACCTTTAGCCTGTGTAGTAGTGGAGTCCATCAGGTCCTTTTTTCCTCCACAAGTCCAGTCAAAAGCATTTCTTTGTCACTTACCAATATGAGTGGTCTAGTGAATGACTTGTGCCATAGTTTATATAAACAGCTTGTGATTTGAGGCTTGGAAATGGATTACTTTAATATGTTGGACATGTGATGGACTTCCGGTTCCAACTCTGCCTCTAACATTCTGCGTACGTTCATTTCATTACTGTGCACTTGCGAAACGCCAATCAGTGGTAGGCACCCGTTTATGCTTGTTGGTGAGAGACAAATTTTTAAAAGTTATGTGACCGGATGCCTGAAGTTGTTCTTCCTGATGGTCTCGTATGTGCAGGCTCCAACACCCACAACAACAATGCACCTGGAGGGGATGGTCAGACGGGGGATGCTGGCGAAGGAAGAGGAGGTAAGAACGCCACTCGGACCCCTTGAAGGGTTGGCCCACAAGGGAGCCACATGCAAGCGATACACTTCACTTGGAGTGATTCATGGTTCAGCACCCTGTACATGCTTCCAAGAGACCATTTTTCAACTTAAGGGCAAACGTTCTGTCCTTGTGCAAAGTAGTGCTTTTGGACTGGTGGGTGTTTTCACAGAGCTAGTCCAAAGTGCAGGGTAACAATTAAAGTCGGGAAAAAAATTGTCAAAATGCATGAACCTTGTAGCCTGAAATTTAGATGGCGAGGCATAACGTGAGAACGGTTTTAAATCCTTTTTGGAGGACGCGTTTGCAGTTGTGGGATTGAGACATTCATTATTTGCTAACATTATTACACACCAGTCTTTTTTGTTCCTCCCATGTATTGCAGGCACGGATCGCTCCAACATTGTACAGATACAGGACAGGCTGGACAATTTCCCCATGCCCTTTGAGCAGACCACCATGTGGACTGGGGCGCAGGTCAGGTGGATGTACACAGGGAATGCCAACATAGCACCCATGGACCTGGCAGTCAATGCTGGCAGCTCTGGTTACTACCAGTAAGTCTGTCACGGCATTATACTGTTTGAGATGAAAGTATTTTGGGGGCTGTGTTAAACTGCCGTGCTGCTGGGCCTAGTAACTTTCTGGCCCAGGTTGTGTAAACTCTCCGACGTGCGAAGGGAAAATCAAATTGTGGCCTCGGGGAGAATCCAGGATAAGTTTTTGGCCTGTGCTGCTGGCTCTGTTTTAACGAAAATTGAATCTGTGTTCTTTCCCCATCTTGAACATCAATGTCAAGTCTGCTGTTATTGGTTGGGACTTGAAAATCATGCATTGGGCAGGGAGGTGTCTCAGAATAAGATTTTAAAGTGCTTAGGTCCGGGTAACTTTGTGAAGTACAGGTACGCATTTCTTAGATTGTAATTTTGAGCACTTTAAGTTTGGTAAAACACATCATAGAAGGAGTGGCACATTAAGGGTGATACAGCAGCTGTTCTCTTGTGTATTCCTACTGAAAAATGAGAACCCAGGGGAGTTGGCATGATTGTGCATCTTTGCTTAAGGTAGATTAGAAACATTGGACAGATTAATGCAGCCAAGCAGTGTTTGGGCAAAATAGATACAGTGTCATATTATGATAATGAGCTGACTTGATGTTTCATAAGCGAGGCATGGGTGCATGAGTTAGACCGAATGACCTTGGATGCACTTCATTATTTACATGGTCTACTGAAACACTGAACAAGCTCATTGACGAGTGGCAAATAATAACAATAATACATGTAATAATTGATAAATAATAATGCGCTGTTTCCATAAAATGACCAAGTGCAGTACGGGTACAAGTTAAGGAATTAACTGGATAGAATTAAACAAGATTAGAATTTAAGTAATGTTATGTCACTACGCTAGAACCCAAACTGCAGTGTGGGGATATGACTGTTCCACCGCCAGAGATATCAATTTTACCTAGACCTAACCCTGCTGGCATCACTGATGTCTCGATCTTTCCCGGAGACACATGCCTCTAACCCAACCTGCACTATACGAAAGCTGATAACCGGACACGGTGACCCTAAAATTACGAGATTACAGCTAAACCTACATTAAATTGAAAAATAATAAAACCTAATGGATGAAACCGATAAAAATCACATATCTTGCAACACAACATCATCGTGCAAATGTCACATTCAAGAGGCAAGTTTTACCTTTGAAAACGGCAAGACCCTGTTTGCTCCGTATGTGCCATGGCAAGGCCTTTCATAACTTGGGAGCAGCCATTGCAGATGCCCTATCACCAGATGTAGGTAATATTTTTACCACTAGGATAACTTAAAACAAATGTTGTCTTCCCTCGGAAAACAGGTGCATGGAGGCTGCCACCTGCAGGGGCGAATCAGTCCAGAACAAGAACAAGCTGAACAACCAGCTGAACAATGCACCGGCATCCTACGAGGGCGCCCTGGTCCAGTTTGCCAAGGGCGAGTACTTCTACATGGGCAGCCGCAACAACAACTTCAGCAACCGCAGCCAGAAGGGGCGGCTGATGATCAAGTAGGAGTGCTCCAGCCACAGCGGGCCGGCACCTGATCCCCACTGGACACTCCGTAAATGAAACTATGCTATGGCTTTGATGAGCGCTGCTCTGCATGTGGGAGCAAGGGTTTCCTCTGGACTACCAATGAGGATGAGGTGGAAAGAAAGAAAATCCAAGTGCATTGCCGACATGGTCAAAGATAAAAGTTTATCATGAATGTATGCTCATAGTGCTTTTATTGTCTTATCACATTTCCTTTAAATAACTAGCCTTGTAGCCTGTGTTAGTAGCCACAGTAATCCAAATTATAAATTACTAAAATTTCACTTTTTTTGTTTTAGTTTTTTGAGATGGCAATATTTGCCCAAAAGACTGGGATTGTTACCAAAGAGTGTTGTCGAGTCCATCACAAGTCATGTTAGTCTTAAGCCAAGTCACATGGTTTTTCCAAATAAAATGAATAAAATGCATTGCTTTTGGAATTGTCCCACCTGCTTCTGGTGACCAGCCTCATGAAAGACAGGTCTTGTCAACATGCAATCGACTTGACTCCAACACTAAGTGAGCTGGGCAACCGTGTGCCTGAATAGGCATGGGAAACCCTGGTGGGAGCTAATGAGCACTTGACTGTCCTAACCGTGGATGGAAGTGTGCCCCCCCCCATTACGTATCTTATCTCACACTGCCAGTCTCTCCCTTTCTCACTGGAGGTGTAGTTCAAGTGGGATGCTGGCATTCG